AAGTTATGTGCATGAGAGCAAGATGGAACTTATCCCCTGTTATACTGCATGGTTAATGTTGGCTTTATTTATTCGTTAATCCCATTTACAGACTGCTGCGGTGTGAAAGGATTCCCAGCAGTTCACAAAGACAATCATACACAATATGGAATAAAAATACACAAAACATCCCACAGTCCAGCAAAATAAGCTGTACGTTACCAGTTATAGATCCAACACCGATTTGTAGCCTCGGTCAAGAAAGTATCACAGCCAAGATACCCTACAGAATAACTGAGAGTTGGAAAGGACCTTGAGAGGTCTTCTAGGCCAACCCCCTGCAGAAGCAAGAGGCCCTATACCAGTGATGGCGAATCTTTTAGAGACCGAGTGCCCAAACTGCAACCCAAAACCCACTTATTTAATTTAATCTGAACACTGAGGTTTTAGTTTAGAAAAAACAACTCATACATTAACACTTTTTGTCTTAAAAAGAAAAACACAATAACAGAGCTTCCAATGATACAAACAACTTTCGATATTTACAATTTCGGGCCCAGCTCAGGGGTGAAATCCAGCAGGTTCTGACAGGTTCTGGAGAACTGGTAGTGGACATTTTGAACAGTTCGGAGAACCGGTAGCAGAAATTTTGAGTAGTTTGGAGAACCGGCAAATACCATCAGAGTGGGGTGGGAATGGAGATTTTGCAATATCTTTCCCCCAGGAATGGGGAGGGAATGGGGATTTTGTAGTATCCTTCCCCTGGAGTGGGGAGGGAATGGGGATTTTGCAGTATCCTTCCCCTGCCCCGCCCACCAAGCCACACCACGCCCACCAAGCCATGCCCACAGAACTGGTAGTAAAAAAAAATTGGATTTCACCACTGGCCCAGCTCAACCATAATTTTATTTAATTATGTTTTTACATTTCTGAACTGTCCACCTCCCTCAAAGAGGGAACCTTGCTGATGGCAGCTCTGTCACTAAATACATTTGGGCAACATTAATAGAGGATTTGAACCCCAAAATCAAACACAGCCTTCCCACTCATCTTTCTAGCGATTGTATGGCCCACTTCACCTATTCTTAAGACACCAAATATTCCTGGTTGCAATGCTCCGTCTACAAGATAGAAGTAATTGTCGATTGTCAAAGAAGTCTGTTGCATAACACAATCAGGCGAATATTTTCAGGTCCAAGGAGAAGTCGAGATAGGAGCCAATTTGCTCTTTCAGCCTTCCTGCCCTCCTTCCTGAAGTGTGGATTCAACGAGCAACCTGGGAACTCTTAAAATTCACCGCTCTTTAGAAAGCGGCTGAAGACAAGAGAAGGAACAGGAAGGAAAGCACAAACTGGATTGCACCAAGATGACTCGAATCATTGCAAGAACAGATTTCAAAACACTTTCAAAAAAAAAAAAAAAAAGCCCAGAGCGAGGAGCAAAAGACCCAAAAGTTCTGGTTCTGTTAAAAGCATTTCTGCAAAGAGAGATATGGCCACGCTGGATAGGAAACAAAACAAGGTTAAGGAACGATCCTGTTTGCGAGGCGCAGGGAAGTTCTGGTTGCTGGATCGGGTGGTATCTATTGGGGCTTCAGAAAAAAAAACAAGAAACTCTTTCACAAGTTAAAAGTAAGGCTTTTCAGCTACTGTATTTGTACTTTTCTGCTGGTTGGCACATTTGGGATTTTGAGAATATGTCCACTAGGCACAAGAACAGTTTTTTCCCGAATGCCATCACTCTGCTAAACAAATAACTCCCTCAACACTGTCAAACTATTCACTAAATCTGCACGATCATTAATTCTATTCTATTCTATTCTATTCTATTCTATTCTATTCTATTCTATTCTATTCTATTCTATTCTATTCTATTCTATTCTTCTCTAGTCTACTCCATTCCATTCCATCTTTTGTAGCTCATGTGCTAACCCCAAAGCACTCATGGTACTGGACTACACAGAGTTGTGTGTATTTTTGTGCTTTGTTCCCTCTGCTTTTTGAAATTGTCATTGTTTTTAAAGCCAAAAAAAACCCAAAGTATAATTCGAAACTAACGTTGAGAAAGTATGACTTTGCAGAAAGACTAGTGGAAGCTTGGAAGCAACTTCCAGCAGAGGTAGTGGGCTCAATTGTCAGTCACCGAGTTTAAATGAGCATGCCCATCATCTGACAAAAATTAAAAATAAAAGTAATAAAATATAAAAGTAATCGTTAAAAATAATTAATTACAAAGAAAAAAAAAACCTCAAAATAAACTCAAAGAGGAGACTCCATGGATCACTAGTTCTTTTTTCTGCTGTCCGTTCTCTATAATTAAAACGAATCATAGTAGGCTATACAAAGTGGTACAATTGATCCCCAGAACAATAGAATAACAGAGTTGGAAGAAACCTTGGAGGTCTTCTAGTCCAACCCTTGCTCAGGCAGGAAGCTCTATACCATTTCAGACAAATGGTTGTCCAATCTCTTCTTAAAAACTTCCAGTGTTGGAGCATTTACAACTTCTGGAGGCAAGGAGTTCCACTGATTAATTGTTCTCACTGTCAGGAAGTTTCTCCTTAGTTCTAAATTGCTTCTCTCCTTGGTTAATTTCCATCCATTGTTTCTTGTCCTGCCCTCAGGTCCTTTGGAGAATAGCTGGATTCCCTCTTCTTTGTGTGTTCAAATATTGGAACCCCTTCTTGCTGCACAGGATATTCCCTACCATCGCTTTCTTTTGAACGTATTCATACCAGTGGTGGGTTTCAAATTTTTTTACTACCGGTTCTGTGGGCGTGGCTTGGTGGGCGTGGCAGGGGAAGGTTACTGCAAAATCCCCATTTCTTCCCGATCAGCTGGGACTCAGGAGGCAGAGAATAGATGGGGGCAGAGCCAGTCAGAGGTGGTATTTGCCGGTTCTCCGAACTACTCAAAATTTCCGCTACCGGTTCTCCAGAACTGGTCAGAACCTGCTGAAACCCACCTCTGATTCATATATACACCCATAAACACAACTTTCACCACTGGTATAGTCTTATTGCAAAACCAGGAGCATGCCAAAGAATGCAACCCCCACCTCCACCACACATACCTGTGTAATGAAAAAGGACCAACAAACTATGCAGCCCTAAAGCTGCGGCACTGTTAATTTCCTTCCCCTTGGGGGTCACTGGAAAAGAAACCTTAACAAAAACAACCTTTGCCTTTGGCCAATGGTTTCCCTCCAGACTCCCCCACCCCGGCTGGCAAAAGCCCGGCTAGCCATGGAAAAGCTTCTGTAATTCCATGGAATTTGTCCCCCCACCATTGTTGAATGTGTTGTTTTATAACCTCGCTTGCCAGTTGAAATGTACAGTTCGACTTGTTTATGCTTTCCAGGTTCCCTGACCTACTTTGTGGAAAGGAGGAGAAGAAGAAAAAAGGGGGGGACAAAGCCTCACAATGACTCACAACCCTTCTGCTCTGCCAGCGTTCCTTTTTAACATTTCCCTTGAAAATAAAAGTAAGAGGAACAGGAGAAGCGAGCCAACTTCCATGGTGGCTTCTGTGCATTCAGGAACGGAGGTCATCTTTTGACTCCAGCCGAGGTTGGCCGAAACAGGAGAGACTGAGCATCTTCCTGCACCAGACAGAAAATAAAGTTTATATCTTAAAATTATGGAAATGGGTCTTGCGGACTCTTCTGACACTTGAAATGGCCTAGAAAGTTTGAATGTTTTTTTTGGAGGGGGATGGGGGGGGCTCTTTTCTTTAGCAGATAATGCATAAATAAAATGCCGGCTTTAAATCTACCATTCTGTGTTTCTGCTCTTGACAATTCTTTGGAAGGAAAATGCCGCTTTGTACCCTGTTGCCGGCTGTGCCAGGAAGTTTCTCCCAACACTTAAAACAGAGCCAAGGCTGGTGGCATACATCTGTCAAGCTTGCCCCATCGAGGCATTATCTGAAGCATTCGCTGCAGAGTGTGACTAACAAACTCAAGAGTTGCCATTTGTCGTGCCCTAAAAACTTCCAAAAACCTATCCGTCCTCAAGAAGAGATTTTATATCAATTGCGCTGTTGTCTATAAGTTCATTTATTTAAACGCTATTACAATTCTGGCCAAGTCTCATTCATGCCCAAATATGAGATGCGTGAACATCTCTCTTCTAAAATATTTGGTTAAGCGTTCTTTTGGAACAATTATATAATGGTCCTGTGCCATTTCTTGGGGCAAGCTAGCCACACTGGGGTTCAAATTATTAGTATTTCTTCTTCTTCATCATCATCATCATCATCATCATCATCATCATCATCATGCTCAAGAACAAGCACTACAAACTAATGCCATGAAAGCAAAGATACAAAAATCCACCGACAATCCAAACTGCCGACTTTGCAACAACGAAGTCGAAACTGTTTCACATTTAATATGTGAATGCAGCAAAATCGCACAAACTGATTACAAAGCTAGACACAACAGAGTTGCTAAATGAATCCACTGGTCATTATGTAAAAAATACAACTTACCTGTAACCAAAAAGTCATGGGAACATAAAATGATCAAGCAACTGCATTTAAAATTCCAGCCAAGAGTTATTAGTTTGCACACTTTGCAGAAAGCAATGCTACAGATGAGTATGATCAGTCTACAGGGTGTGTGAAATTCATATAGAGAGATCAGGAAAGCAGATAGGGATTGAGGAGACACCCATACCACCATGTTTGTCTTAGAGCAGGGGTCTCCAACCCCCGGTCTGTGGACTGGCACTTGACCATGCCAGAAACTGGTCCACACAAACAAGCGAAGTCCCATCCTAGGGAGGCAGGCAGCAAATGAAACCTGGACCCCTCCGATCTGTGGAAAAACCTCTCTCCATGGAACCAATCTCTGGTGACCCAAACTTTGGGGGCCGCTGTCTTAGAACACAGAATGATGAGAGAGGATGATTGTGGTCTGCTTTTCACACACACACACATACAAAAAGGCAACGTGCCCTGCCCTCAGTTCTCAAAACTTTCCCACACTCCACAAACCATCAACGCTCAAAATGTCCTCACCATTTTCGAATTCCAGACCTCCCGCTGAAGTTAGTAAGTTCTGAGAGGGCAGCCTTTTAGGAACCTGAAAAATAATAAAATAACAGAAGGTCAAGGGTCAGTTTTATGCCCTACAATCTCCATCATGTTTGCGTTTTTGTACAATAGACTGATACAAGAAACTACACCAGTGACAATAGCAGATCAATCAAGAAATCAATCAAGGCTTGTCTGTTCAATGTTGTCTAAAAGTGAGAATTAAGCGAGAATCAAATTATTTAGAAGATGTGATAGAGGTATCCTTAAGGTAGTAATGATCCCATTTTTTAAAGTGGGAGGCAAATCAACCAACCAGTCCTTTCCCGAGTTTAGGCACACTAATGTTCTTGACAAAGTCCAGAATGCAAAATAGCCAACAATAGAACTGAAGAAGCTTCTTGGATAAGAAGCAAAATATTTTCAAAAAAGCAACTAAGAAAAGTCCAGTTGCCTTTTGGAAAAGCGTCTTTGGGATATCAAACAATAGGGGAACTTACACTCATCCTTTTTTCTAATATACTAAGGTTTAACTTGCGACACAATCTTCTCTACCAATAAATCTTCAGAGGAGCAGAAAAACTTGTCTTTTTGATTCTTCATGGCATAATACATTTTATAGTTTTGCATTCAGCGAGAGCCTGCTCCATGCTGAAGTACTAAAAATAAGTTTTCTTGTACTATTCATTACTTTTTTCCCCTTTTCTATTCATGTGAGACAAAATTAGGATTTCCACATCACACTTGGTTAAATTATGTTTTAAAGTGCACACATTACACTGTATCATAAAATAGCCAAGTGGGATGGGTTTGCAGGTAAATCTCAGAAAAACTAATTGAAGTTCAAAGTTAATGAGTAGGTACCGGTATTAAGGCAGTCACTAGATTTGCAACTTTAGGATTAAGACTAGTTTAAGCATCTTGTGGTGAATTAGCTTTACTGTTTTCATTATTACTTTAATCCATCCGGAAAACTTTGTTTTCCCATTGTATATGTGTTTTATGTCGGGAGGGTATAAAAATGGTGAAGAAGCCACCCAGCCAGCTTAGCTTGGAGAATATGGAGCTTCAGTACTAGATGATTACTTGAAATTGAAAATTAAACCAGCCATCTCCACATTGGTATCCATATGACTTGAGATAATTAGATGGGAAATTGGAAATGGGGAAATTGTAATTAGAAATGTCTAGCAAGCAGCTTGAATTAAAGAAAAACCAAGCCAGCAGAGTGAGCAAGTTTAGCCAGAGATGTTCTTAAAAGGAGAAGGCGCATAAAACTCCAACATGTACAATTCCTGTGGTGAATTTGCTCTTGATGCTGCCCAAAGATAAATAAAGTGTTGAAATGAGTGAACCTGACTTTCTGGTTTGGGGACTCTTTAGTCACAAAGTGTGTTTTAAATATGGGAGACAGAAACATTGTTTTTTTATTTCCTCTGTAACTTTGTTTTTTTATCTCATTGTTTTGCCTACTTGCAAAGGAAGAGGAGATTATTTGGAAAGATGGTTTGACGTAGCTCAACTAATGGAGAATGCTATTTATTATATAATTAGTAATCCTGTATCTGCATGTATTTGTATATTTACCTACATGGATGTTGTATGTAGATCTATCTATCTGTTCATATAAATGTACATCTACATACAATATACAACATACAAGATAAAATATTATATTATGTACTACTGCATCTAGTAGCTCAAGCAGGAAAACATATACCATTTTAGTAATAATAATATAATATAATATAATAAATATAATATAATATAATATAATATAATATAATATAATATAATATAATATAATATAATATAATATAATATAATAATAATAAAAAATAATAGCAACCTATATCAACCATTAGCACCAGTCAATGGTATTTGTGATGCATTTTTGAATGTTCAGTTGACTGAATTTCATATTGAATGAATAAAACTTCATAATAAACAATAAAAATAAATAAATATAAATATAATAATATAAATATTAATGTTAATATTAATAATAAAAAAAATAAAAACAACTATAACATCATAATAGGACAGAAAAAAAAGTTCCCCCGTAACTAAGCAACCGGGGTCGCCTCGGAACGGACTGACGGCCTTCTCGACCCGGAAGTGCTTTTCCCAGCACCGGAAGTGAGAGGCCGACAGGACTTTATCACCGAGGCGGGTTGCCAGGTAATTGCGAGGTGTTTTTCGAGTGCCCCGGCGGGAAGAAAAGAGAACCGGCGGAAAAAAAACTAAAGGGCTCCGGAGGGCCTCGGTGGGGCGGCCAGCGTGTCCTTGTCTCTCTCCCGGGCCGGGCTTCCATGACTCCGGACTTGGCCTGGAGTAGGTAGAGGAGGCTGGAGGCAAAAGACCCGGATGTTGGGCGGGGCCTGCTGTGACGTGACGTGGCTGAGCCTGCGCGGTGACGTCACGGCTCAGGAAGGGGATTGGTTGGCTACGGGAGAGGGCGTGGTCCGGGCGGGGCTAACGGGCGGAGGTGTGGGGGGGTGAATGCCAGCTGGCGCTTCCTTCGTCCTCCTTGCAGGGTTGTTGTGTAAGCAAAGACCTGTTGGAGAAGGTGACGTGGTTTACTCGCTCTGCTCCTCTGGGGAGGGAGGGGGGATTATGAAATTATGAACTTTTGAAGGGCAGTTAGAGGAGGGGAGGGCTTCCTAGGACTACAGTTCCCATGAATGAAGGCAGGGACTACAGTACCCATCTTCCTCTGAAGCCGAGCCACCCAGGGCAACACAGAGCAAAACCTGGACTGAGAGACGACTTTTTGCCTTGGATATAAAGGTCAATCCAGATACAGGTAGTCCTCGACTTACGGCGACCGTTCCAAGTTTCAACGGCACTGAAAAATGTGACTCATGACTGTTTTTTTTCCCCCCCACCCCACAGTTATGACGTTTGGAGCATCCCCACGGTCAACATTCAGAGGCTTGGCAGCTGACTCACATTTACGACGTGTCCCGGGGTCACGCGATCCCCTTTTGCGACCTTCTTGACCAGCAAAGCCAATGGGGAGAGCCGGGTTCACTTAAGAAACCATGTGACAACTCCAGCGGTTCACTTGACAAAGGTGGCAAGAAGAGTTGTAAAACGGAGCAAAACGTCGCTTAACAAATGTCTCCCTTCGCGACATGAATTCTGGGCTCACTTGTGGTCGTAATTCAACAACTGCTGTGATTCACTTAACCACGGTGGCAAGACAAGTCGTAAAATGGGGCAAAAGTCACTTAATGGGGGTTGTACATCAAGTTACGACCACCATGGAGCCGAGAATTTGTCGCTAAGTGAGAAATTAGTTGAGTTTTGCCCCATTTTAGCAATGGCAATGGCAATAGCACTTAGACTTATCTACCACTTCATAGTGCTTTTACAGCCCTCTCTAAGCAGTTTACAGAGTCAGCCTCTTGCCCCCAATAATCTGAGTCCTCATTTTACGACTTTTCTTGCCACGTTTGTTAAGTGAATCCCTGTGGTTGTTAAATTAGTCACACGGTTCTTAAGTGAATCCAGCTTCCCCGTTTTCTTGTCTTGTCTTGCCGAAAGGGCTCAAAAGGGGATCGCGTGACCCCTGGGACACAGTGAGCTAGCCATACCCTTACTCGGATTCCAACTTGGGCTGCCTGCTTATTAGGCAGTTGTATTAACCACAAGTTCTCCCTTTATCAATTTGAGCCAGGGGAGAGATTAAGTGTTTTTCTGTTGAAGCACCTGGTCTGCTGGATTGGAGCTGAAAGGCGAAAGGGAAGCAGAATGCTCCCTCCCATATTGGGGTAGCCCAGGTGCTTTGACAGAAAAACACTATATATATATGTGTGTGTGTGTATGTGTATGTATGTATATATGTGCTGTATGTAAGATGTATGATATATATATATATTATACACACACACATATACACACACACTACTATACCAATACAATACAATGCAATGCAATGCAATGCAATACAATACAAGCTATGCTATACTACCCTGTTTCCCCCAAAATAAGACATCACCTGATAATAAGCCCAATCAGGCTTTTGAGCATATGACAATAAGGCCAAGCACTTATTTCAGGGTTCAAAAAAATATAAGACAGGGTCTTTTTTTCGGGGAAACACAGTGTCTATGTCTGTCTGTCTAACTTATCTATTTATGTATCTATCTATCTATCTATCTATCTATCTATCTATCTATCTGTGTCTGTCTCTATCTATCTGTCTGTCTGTCTGTCTTTGTCTGTCTGTCTATCATCTACCCTGTTTTCCCCTAAATAAGACATCCCCTGATAATAAGCCCAATTGGGCTTTTGAGCGCATGACAATAAGGCCAAGCGCTTATTTCAGGGTTCAGAAAAATATAAGACAGGGTCTTATTTTCGGGGAAACACGGTATACTAATACTATACTATACTATGCTCTATTTTGCTCTGCTCTGCTCTACTATGGCGGTTAACCTTCCGTTCTAAGCTTCATGCCAAAACTCCTTAAGAATTTTATTTTTCTCTCACATTCTTCGTTTGTACAAAAACAGTTTGGAGTCTCTAGGCGTGGTTCCTTTACCGGGATCGACCTGGGTTTTGGGTTGTGAATTCCTGAAGCGCTTCCTGATGTGACCTTGTGCGTGTGTATATGTCTTTTCAGGCGAAAAGAGCCCGGAGCCATGCCAGCTTTGCCTCTGGATGAACTCCAGTTTACGGAAAAAGATTCACTGACTGGGAAGATCAAAACTTTACCAGCGCTGGTAAGCGGAGTTTAAAAGCCGTTGCTCAGCCGTTCGATGGCTTCTAACTATGGGCCTCTTTGCGATTAAAGCCTCTCTATGATCTGCCTTTGTCTGTCTGTCTAGTCTAGTCTAATCTAGTGAAAAAAAAAGACTAGTGGGTGACATGAGAGCAGTCTTCCACTATCTCAGGGGCTGCCCCAAAGAAGAGGCAATCAAGCTATTCTCCAAAGCACCTGAAGGCAGGACAAGAAGCAACGGGTGGAAACTAATCAAGGAGAGAAGCAACCTAGAACTAAGGAGAAATTTCTTGACAGTGAGAACAATTAACCAGTGGAACAACTTGCCACCAGAAATTGTGGGTGCTCCATCACTGGAGGTTTTTAAGAAGAGATTGTGCAACCATTTGTCTGAAATGGTATAGAATCTCCTGCTCGAGCAGGGGGTCAGGCTAGAGAACCTCCAAGATCCCTTCCAACTCTTGTTATTCTGTGAAATAAATATCCACTTTGCTCCTCCTTAGCCATGGCTTTTTAAAAAACAGGACAAGACAAACTGCAAAGCATCCTCCTCTCTACATCCTCCCGATGTACATTTGTGCTGGATGAGGCGCAGGAAAAAGTGAAGTCCTGCTCACAAACCTGGAAAACACTTCAGTGTCTCGCCGAAGTTGTTTATCAGGCTGCAGACTGAAGAAGCCCATTGATTTTAAATGGCAATTACCGTCTGTTGACTCTCTCCGAGGCTTCAGAAAGGAGACTGCCATAAATTGGGGGAGCTGCCAAAACCATTTGAGCAGAAGCCACTGCGTGAAGTTAAAAAATATAGGGACAAATAGACATCTGTATTTCTAGGGGAAGGGATTTATATAGTCTCCGCTGCCAGCTGGTAAACCATCATGGAAGATGAGTCCTCGGTTCTCGGGTTTGAGCTGAGTTGCGGCATTCCTGGATATAAACATAGGTGGTCCTCAACTTACAGCCACAATTGATCCCAACATTTCTGTTGTTAAATGAGACATTTGTTTAAGGGAGTTTTGCCCCATATTACAGCCTTTCTCACCGTGGTCGTTAAGTGAATCCGGCTCCCCTATTGACTCCGCTTGTCCGGAGATCACATGACCCCGGAGGTAGTCCTCGATTTACGACCACAATTGATCCCAACATTTCTGTTGTTAAATGAGACATTTGTTTAAGGGAGTTTTGCCCCATATTACAGCCTTTCTCACCGCGGTCGTTAAGTGAATCCGGCTTGTCTGGAGATCACACGACCCCTGGACGCTGCTACCATCATAAATCTGAGTCAGTTGCCAAGGGTCTGAAATTTTAAATCACCGGATCGCTACAACAATCATAAATATGAAAAGCAGTCGTTAAGTCCCTTTTTTTTCAGTGCCATTCTACCTTCGAATGGTCACTAAGCAAACCGTTGTAAGTTGAGGACTGCCTGTATTTTGGGAACACGGCAGAGCAGGAGGAAAGAGAAAAGTAGAATCTCCCTAATTTAAAAAGCTTCTCAAAATATTGTAAGGCAAGCCCCCCTCACCTCTTCCCCCCCACCCACCCACAGAGGAGGGGGTCAAGCTATTCTCCAAAGCACCCGAAGGCCAGACAAGGAAGAATGGATGATCAAGGAGAGATTCAACCTGGAAATAAGGAGGAATTTCCAGACAGTGAGAACAATCAACCCATGGAACAGAAGTTGCCTTCGGAAGTTGTGGGAGCTTCATCCCTGGAGGCTTTCAAGAAGAGACTGGACTGCCATCCGCCAGAAATGGTGTGGGATCTCCTGCTTGGGCGGGGGGTTGGACTAGATGACCTACAAGGTCCCTTCCAACTCTATTAAATTGTCACCTTAAAATGCTAATCAGAAGATCCTTTGGGATGAAGCTGAAAGGCAGGCATGCCAGCATCTCAAAAAGACCAAACACCAATTTGCTGGCCGGCCAAATTTTCCTGCAAACATGCAAATTGGTCCTTGGCGGATAAGCTCTCCAAGATCGCCGGAGAAAGCAAGAGCAAGGACTACTGTTTTGTCTCTTGCCTTCCCACCCACCCACTACCCCATTTTGTCTTTTTCAGCATCCCCGAAACAAAACCGACCGCTCTTTTGTGGTGTACAAGCCTCTCCCGAGCACCGAAGATCCAGCCCTGGTGGAGGAGTTTTCCGAACGAGCCAGATTTATCGCGGGGGATCTGGATTGGCTCCTGGCTCTGCCTCATGATAAATTCTGGTGCCAGGTACTGTTTTTGTCGTTGTTGTCAATGAGAAAAGGTGGAAAGAAAAGAGGATTTTCAGGTAGAACAATAAAGGTAAAAGGTAAAAGGTTCCCCTCGCACATAGGTGCTAGTCGTTCCCGACTCTAGGGGGCGGTGCTCATCTCCGTTTCAAAGCCGAAGAGCCAGCGCTGTCCGAAGACGTCTCCGTGGTCATGTGGCTGGCATGACTCAACGCCAAAGGCGCATGGAACGCTGTTCCCTTCCCACCAAAGGGGGTCCCTATTTTTCTACCTGCATTCCTCCTCCTCCTTCTCCTCCTCCTCCTCCTCCTCCTCCTCCACAAACCCCACTCCCTTCTAGCATTGATGACGTTACCCAGTTTGGTAATGAAACGTCTGCGAGAAAACCCCCAAGCTCAGAGAGCACCAAAGTCCCCACAGTCATCATCTTCCTTCTCCTCCTCCCCCTCCTCTCTGCCCCCCTCCCTTCTAGCACTGATGACGTTACCCGGTTTGGTAATGAAACGTCTGTGAGAAAACAAGCCAACTCTGACAGCACCCAGGATCCCCTGTTTAGGATAGTTTAGCAGCCTTTTGACAAAGGTTCCAGTGAAGTTTCTCAGTGGTTGAAAGAATGGAAGAGAGAAGACCTCTGATGGGGTGGCCTGGCAATTTCCTCCACCCCTGCCAGTCAATTAATCAGGAAGCATACACGAAGGGAGATTCAAGATGGAAACCTCACTTGGCCAGTTGTTGTTGTTGTTGTTTTTCTTCTCCCTGAACCAAATTCCCTGGAAACCTTTGCTTTCTCCCCCACAGGTCATTTTTGACGAGTCGCTTCAGAAATGCCTGGATTCGTACCTGCGCTACGCCCCCCGCAAGTTCGACACCAGGACGGACCTCCCTGCTGAGGTGAAAGACCTGGAGAAGCGTCTCCATCGGAGCGTTTTCCTAACCTTCCTCCGCATGTCTACCCACAAGGAATCCAAAGTAAATGCAGCTTTCTTTCTTTCTGTTTTTTTATAAAGTTTTTTATTCATTTTCCATTTGATAGATAGATAGATAGATAGATAGATAGATAGATAGATAGATAGAGATAGATAGATAAATAGATAGATAGATAGATGATAGATAGATAGATAGATAGATAGATAGATAGATAGATAGATAGATAGATAGATATAAACATTTCATCTGTCCTTAAGCGGTGTGTCGTCTGGGTACAAATATTTCTGTGCAACGTCCTTCCACAAACTATATACATTGAACAATTCTACCTTGTGTAACTCTTAATTTCCTTCATAACGTATCTTCTAATAAAAATACAAATCTATATATATATACATACTGCTCAAAAAAATAAAGGGAACACAAGCAGAAGACATCCGAGATCTGAATGAATGAAATAGCTTATACACTGCTCAAACAACTAAAGGGAACCCAAAACTACTGTACGTAACGAACAAAGTATTTAATAAGGCTATTTCATTCATTCAGATCTCGGATGTCTTCTGCTTGTGTTCCCTTTATTTTTTTGAGCAGTGTATATAAAAGCGAAAACCACTCACGCTGTAATCACGAAATCTCCATAACTGTAAAGCCTACAAACTTGAAATTTGCCACATATGTTCCTCTTGGCTTCTAGGTGCTCACTAAGAAAGGATTTTTCGAAATGACCATCAGAGCATTAGTATTTCCTATATTATTATTAACACGCTCTGATGCTAAGGAGTTCTACTCCCCCTCCCCACCTGAAAAGAAATCTGTTCCAGATGCAAAACACAAGCAGAGGAGAGGAGTTTCACTTTCAGTTTTACTTTCACAGCGGGAAGCAGCTTTAATACAGAACACTTGAGCTAAGCCACGGCCAGACTCCTTCCTGTCTCCTTCTTGCTCACACAGCAAATACTGTTTCACTTTCCAAACAGCCCTCTGATGCTAAGGAGTTCTACTCCCCCTCCCCACCTGAAAAGAAATCTGTTCCAAATGCAAAACATTGCACTGATGATGTTACCTAGTTTGGTAATGAAATGTCTGGAAAGAAAACCACCAGGTTCAGAGAGCGCCAAGGACCCCACAGTTCAACCTTGAGCTGCAGATATTCTCTTCTGTTGAACAGACATTGTCCTGCACCGATCGCTACAATAGAGACCGTTTTGGCAGCTGTCAATAAACGTCTTCCAATCTCTCTCTTCCCTTCCTTCTCCCCCCCCCTTCCCTCTCTCCTGCAGGATCATTTCATTACACCATCGGTATTCGGAGAAGTCCTTTACAATAACTTCTTATTCGACATCCCCAAGATCTTGGATCTGTGTGTGCTGTTTGGAAAAGGCAATGGCTCCCTACTCCAAAAGATGATTGGTTAGTTCACAGGATTGGGGAGACAAGGGCGAAAGGCTACGGGAAGGGGAGCATCTCCCCTCATCTATCAGAAAGATACTAGATGCATTACCGTATTTTTCGGCGTATAAGACGCACTTTTTCCTCCCCTAAAAGAGGGTGAAAATTTGGGTGTGTCTCATACACCGAATGTAGCCCCGCCCACCTGCTGCCCCCCACCCTTTGGCCTCTGCCTCCCAGCAAATAACCGCCTTGCAACAAGCAGCAAGCAGCCCGTTTCAGCTTCAGCACAGCCTGATTAGCACAAGCAGTTGATTGCTGGTTGGATCGGCTTCCCGATCCTCAGCTGTTTCAAACTGCAGGGATTGCCATTGCCTATTGCCACGTAAGCAGGCAAATTGCTGGGAGGCAGATTTTTTGTGTGTGTGCTAATCATTAGGCTGTGCTGAAAATGAAAATGAAATTAAAGCAGGTTTTAACTGTTTTTCGGGCCGTTTTTGGTGCATTTTCAGCCGTTTTCAGGCCTTTGGGGGCCATTTTTTGGGTTGTTTTCGACTGTGTTTTGGGCCAAAAATCAGCCCCAAAACAGGCAGGGGTGGGGCCAGCCAGTGGTGCGATTAGCCAGTTCACCAAACTGGGCAGAATTTTAACAACCGGTTTGCTCAAACTGATCCGAAACGGCTGAATCCCACCTCTGGGTTAGTGTAAATCTGAGCTGTCACACCAAGTAGAACGTAATTATCTGTACTGATCCCCGAAAGCTGGCTTCTCATCTGGAATAGGTTGGCACAGCAAATGTTTGCTCGGTTTAATAGGTATTTTTGTACACCTTCTGGAATCTTCTAATAAAAATTAAACTCCAGCCACCGTTAAAAAAACAACAACACCCAAAACCCTGCAGCTTAATACTGTAGCATGACTGCTTACTTAGTTCAGTGAAACTGAATATTTAGATATCCCTCACTGAATTAAAGTCGCTTACCTGACTCTTTTTCAATTATTTGTTTGGCTCCCTATTTCAAGATGATTTTAAAAAGAGCATAATTACATTTTTTGTTTTTTAATGTATCTATCTATGCTGAATCGTGGAAGGCAGCTTCTTGCCTGGAATACATTGGCCCAGTGAATATTTGCTTAGTTTAATAAGGATTTTGTACACCTTCTGGAATATCCTGATGAAAATTAAACCCAGCTATCGTTAAAAAAAACTCCAACATATCGCTCAGCGGAATGCGGAATAATCAGTTCAGCGAGACTGAATATTTGGATATCACTCCTTGAACTAAAGGAGCAATCTAACAAAATGAAATTCAATGGTGAAAAAAGTAAAGTTCTGCATTTAGGCAAGAAAAACAAAATGCATAGGTACAATATAGGTGGTACCTTGCTCAATAGCAGTAACTGTGAGAGGGATCTTGGAGTCCTAGTGGACAACCATTTAGCTATGAGCCAGCTGTGTGCAGCAGCTGCCAAAAAAGCCAACACAGTTCTAGGCTGCATCAACAGAGGGATAGAATCAAGATCACGGGAAGTGTTAATACCACTTTATAAGGCCTTAGTAAGGCCACACTTGGAATATTGCATCCAGTTTTGGTCGCCACAATGTAAAAAAGATGTGGAGACTCTAGAAAGAGTGCAGAGAAGAGCAACAAAGAGGATTAGGGGACTGGAGGCTAAAACATAGGAAGAATAGTTGCAGGAACTGGGTGTGTCTAGTTTAATGAAAAGAAGGACTAGGGGAGACATGAGAGCAGTGTTCCGATATCTCAGGGGTTGCCCCAAAGAAGAGGGAGTCAAGCTATTCTCCAAAGCACCTCAGAGTAGAACAAGAAACAATGGGTGGAAACTAACCAAGGAGAGAAGCAACTTAGAACCAAGGAGAAACTTCCTGACAGTTAGAACAATCGATCAGTGGAACAACTTGCCTCCAGAAGTTGTGAATGCTCCAACACTGGAAGCTTTTAAGAAGAGGTTGGATAACCATTTGTCTGAAGTGATGTAGGGTTTCCTGCCTAAACAGGGGGTTGGACTAGAAGACCTCCAAGGTCCCTTCCAACTCTTGTTATTCTATTCTATTCTAACCTTAGTCTCTTCAATGATTTGTTTGGCTCCCTACCTTGAAACGATTTTCAAATAAGAGAATTAATACCGACCGGCTTTTTCAAAGGCATCGCTCAAAAATTTGTTCAGTCATGCGTCGAACATCGGATAACGTTGCTCATTTTTGGAAGTCTGCTTCTAATCTCTCTCGGGCAGTCTGCAGGCTTAGGCGGTTCCTTCCTCAACCCGCTGCCTCCCAAACAAGCCCGAGAAACTTAAAAAGAGCATTTTTGCTATGTTCAAAAGGCCAACCTGCTGCTAATCTTGTAAAACGATCCGTCTCTTAATTTTGCTTTGTTTTGTCTCTGAAATGCAAGCCTACATCTCGGTATGAGGAAAGAGGGAGCTTTTGGGCAAGGAGGTCGCTCAATTAAATCCACGTTCCTTCCTGGAATTCTCCCCATTGAGTGATGCGTTTGGCCAAAAGCCCGTGGCTCCAAATCGGTGGACATTTGACCTTGGACCAAGCAGGCCCATTTCTGAGTAGAGGCCACTCACGAACTTCACGGGTTCAAACTCATGACTTGGCTGGACTCACTTTTGACACCTTTCCCCAGAATGCTTGCCCCATCAGCAGCCTCTTCGCTCGCCACAGCTAAACAGGGATTGTGCTCAATTGTTAGTGCGTAAGCAACTCTGAAAGGGATGTGGTGGCTCAGTGGCTAAGACGCTGAGCTTGTCGATCGAAAGGTTTGGCAGTTCGGCATCTCGAATCCCTAATGCCGCGTTATGGGGCGAGCTCCCATGACTTGTCCCAGCTTCTGCCAACCTAGCATTTCGAAAGCAGGTAAAAAATGCAAGTAGAAAAATAGGAACCACCTTTGGTGGGAAGGGAACAGCGTTCCGTGCGCCTTTGGCATTGAGTCATGCTGGCCACATGACCACAGAGACGTCTTCGGACAGCGCTGGCTCTTCGGCTTTGAAACGGAGATGAGCACCGCCCCCTAGAGTCGGGAACGACTAGCACAGATGTGCAAGGGGAACTTTTATCTTTAAGCAACTCTTGACTGGGTTCACACAACAGACTACAGATGTTTGTGGAGATTCTCAGTCATGGTTGTCCCATTTTTTTTTTCCAAGAGGCAACTGGACTGTCTGTTTTTTTCTTTTGAAGACGTTTCGCTTCTCATCCAAGAAGCTTCTTCAGCTCTGAGCGGTTATACTTCTACAGAATATGTATTCGGTATTCCTTGTTTCCATGAATCCACTTCAGATCATAGCTAATGTGGAACCTTTGAACATTTAACTAGCCTTTTCTCTTTCTCTTTCTCTCTCCTTTGCCTCTCTGCCCTGTCCGCAGGAAACATCTTTACCCAGCAGTCAAGTTACTTCAGTGATTTGGATGAAACCATGCCTACAATTCTTCAGGTTGGTTTGCTTCCTTCTTCTTCTTCTTCTTCTTCTTCTTCTTCTTCTTCTTCTTCTTCTTCTTCTCCTCCTCCTCCTCCTCCTCCTCCTCCTCCTCCTCCTCCTCCTCCTCCTTCTTCTCCTTCCTCCTCCTCCTCCTCCTCCTCCTCCTCCTCCTCCTCCTCCTCCTCCTCCTCCTCCTTCTCCTTCTCCTCCTCCTCCTTCTCCTCCTCTTTTCTTTCTCCTCCTCCCTCTACTGGATGTTACCTAGTACTGTAATGAAACATCTGCAAGAATGTTTGCAGATGTTTCTCAGAGAACTCAAAGAGCACCAAGGACCCCACAGTTTCAACCTTCAATACGCTCTACCAATATTCTCTTCTGCCGTTATCCGCCTGTCCTTTGCCTTCCAGGTTTTCAGCAACATCCTGCGTGCCTGTGGCTTGCAAGGCGAAGAGGCTTCAGCCAGTCCACAGAAGCTGGAGGAAAGGGTCAGGATGACTCCAAAGGGGCTACCTTTGCAGGTGAGGACCGTCCAATGGCAGGGAGGCCGTTTTCCTTATCTTCCTTCCTTCCTTCCTTCCTTCCTTCCTTCCTTCCTTCCTTCCTTCCTTCCTTCCTTCTTTCCTTCCTTCCCTCCCTCCCTCCCTCCCTCCCTCCCTCCCTCCCTCCCTCCCGTTAGAACATAGTATTGCAGGCTAACTCTGCCCATTGCCAGCAGTTCAATTCTGCCTGGCTCAAGGTTGACTCAGCCTTCCATCCTTCCAAGGTGGGTAAAATGAGGACCCAGATTGTTGGGGGCCAGAGGCTGACTCTGTAAACCGCTTAGAGAGGGCTGTGAAGCGGTATATTTATTTATTTATTTATTTATTTATTTATTTATTTATTTATTTATTTATTTATTTATTTATTGGTTCGATTTATATGCCGCCCTTTTCCGGAGACTCAGGGTGGCTTACAATGCATTAAGCAATTGTAATTAAGCAATTAAGCAATATAAGTCTAAGTGCCTATTGCTATTCAGACACATGGGAACTTGCAAGGATGGGATTTGGAGCTCCCCCCCCCCATCTATTTGGAACCCAAATTCAGGGAATGCCTCTTTTTTTCTCTCTTTTCCTAGGAGCTGAAAGATATTATCCTCTACGTGTGTGACAGCTGCATCACCCTGTGGGCCTTTCTCGACGTCTTTCCCTCAGCTTGCCAGACTTTCCAGAAGCACGACTTCTGTTTCAGGTATTCATTTGGGCTGCGGGGTGGTTTTTTTGAGGCTTTTTTCGGCCCGTTTTTCCCAAAAAAATGGGCTGAAAAAAGCCTCAAAAATGGCCCCAAAAACTCTCAAAAAGAGCCCCCCCAAAAGGCCTGAAAACGGGCCAAAAATGTCCCCAAAACGGGCAAAAAAAGGTCTCAAAACAGCCCCCCAAAAGCCCTGAAAACGGGCCAAAAACGTCCCCAAAACGGGCAAAAAAAGCCTCAAAAATGGGCTGAAAAAAGCCTCAAAAATGGGCCAAAAAAAGGCTGAAAAAAGCCTCAAAAATGGGCCCAAAAAGTCTCAAAAAGAGCCCCCCCAAAGCCCTGAAAACAGGCCAAAAACGTCCCCAAAACGGGCAAAAAAGGTCTCAAAACAGCCCCCAAAAAGCCCTGAAAACGGGCCAAAAACACCCCCAAAATGGGCAAAAAAGCCTCAAAAACGAGCCGAAAAAAGCCTCGAAAATGGGCCAAAAAAAGGCTGGAAAAAGGCCCGAAAACAGGGCGTGCTGAGACCAAAAAAATGGCTGGCGGGTGGGCGGGGCTTCGGCAATATTCGGTCTATAAGATGCACGGACATTTTTGCCCCCTTTTGGGAGACACAAAAGTGCGTCTTATAGTCCAAAAAATACGGTACCTCCGGCCATTCGATCGGCCATTCGATAAAAGCCCACTCGCTCTTTCGTTCCTTGTGTTGGCAGGCTGGCTGCTTTTTACGAGCTGGTGATCCCCGAGTTGGAATCCGCTATCAAGAAACGGCACCACGAAAATATCAGGTCCGTGGTTTGGAGCGACGGCCTCGTTTTCCCATCCTTTCCGTCGCTTTTTCTCTGACCGGCTTTGAAGGGTACCGGGGATCTGTTTGAGCCCAGCTGGGTTCTTTGGGGGTGGGCAGACGCACATTTGGATTGGGTTCTCCTGCCTTTGAAAGCCGCGAAGGTCTTGTCGTCATGTCCACAACCGTCTCTAGATTCTCTTTCTGCCCTTTTAGAGTACTGTCAGATTTATGGAGGAGGCTGTCTCATTCTCGGAAGAAGATGGTGGAGATGTTTCACATGATAGTCCACCAGCTGTGCCTTCAGCCCATTTTGGAAAGCAGGTATTGTATTTTTCGGAGTATTCGGAGTATTAATTCCAAAACAAGTCCTTCAGAAAAAGTCCTTCGGGCTTATCACAAACTTTTATCTTCTTTGGCACCCTGCCAAAGGCCTTTCTTGGCAAAGCCCCACAAAGTCCAGAAACAAGAGACGCTGACTGGAAACAGATTTAGCAACGTTGCTTTCCTACAAAGAGCCCAAGAGCCTTTGCTGCTCTTTTAAGCGGGCCAATCATCGCCTGGCCTTACTCCCGAGTCGTCCCTTTTGCTTTAGCTGCTCTTGCCTTCTAGCAGCTCTGCGCATGGTGCACTAGGAACAGGCTCCTCCTGTTCCTCTGCCTCTCTATTGTCAGCCTCTGGGTCTCCGGAGTCCGTGCATCACTCCCCGATGGCCCTGGCCCCATCTCTGCCTCCGACGCAGAGCCCTCGTCCGGGCCTTCCCCAGACTCCAGGACTGCCCCATGTTCCTCCCCAACCTCCTCACTGTCTGACTCCACTGCCAGCTCTGCGGGCTGCTAGCGGACCACAACATTCATCTGCCTAGCGTCCTTAGCAAACAGCCTGATCAGCTTCAGCAGATTAGCCTGATTCAGCACGAGCAGCTCAGTGGCTAAGATGCTGAGCTTGTCGATCGAAAGGTCAGCAGTTCAGCGGTTCGAATCCCGAGTGCCGCGTAACGGGGTGAGCTCCTGTTGCTTGTCCCAGCTTCTGCCAACCTAGCAGTTCGAAAGCACGTAAAAAAATGCGAGTAGAAAAATAGGGACCACCTTTGGTGGGAAGGTAACAGCGTTCCATGTGCCTTTGGCATTCAGTCATGTCGGCCACATGACCATGGAGACGTCTTCAGGCAGCGCTGGCTCTTCGGCTTTGAAACGGAGATGAGCACCGCCTCCTAGAATCGTGAACGACTAGCACATATGTGTGAGGGGAACCTTTACCTTAAAGCATTAGAAGTAGGTAAACATGGATTCTCTGCCTGTGTCATTTTCACGGACCACCTGCCACGATTAACCTTGTTCTTACAGCTGTGACAACATCCAGGCCTACATTGAAGAGTTCCTGCAGATTTTCACCTCCGTGCTTCAGGAGACGAGGTGAGAGACTCGGGCGCAACTCTGGAACGTTGTTAACCTGGAAAATTTTCTGCCTTGCTGCCCTTTTGGTCTCGGGAGATGAATAGGGCCCTGTAATATGCCACATCCTTAATCAAATTAATCCCTTTCTTAAATTTATGCAATCCGGTGAATTAAAAAAAAGATTGGGTTCGTCAAACACAAGAAGCCACACCCTACCAAAAAAGGCCAGCGAATTAAACTGAACACTAAACAAGTTTAGCATGGCTATGCAAGGTGCCTTATGCTCGCTCCGTGGCTGAATTAAATCAGTTTGTGTGAACACACAGCCCTTGTTTGGACATCTTCAAACATTTGGGTCCATTCTCTCCGGTCAATAGTCACAGAGCTTGTCCTCTTTTAGAGACCTGGAGGCTAAAACATATTCGGAGGTTGCAGGAACTGGGTATGTCTAGTTCAGGAGTCAGCAATCTGTGGCTCTGGAGCCGCATGTGGCTCTTTCACCCCTCTGCTGCGGCTCCCCGTCGCTCAAAATATTACAACGGCCAATGTGTGATACCCACTGGCACATGATTTATTTATTTATCAAATTTCTATACCGCCCTACTCCCGGAGGACTCAGGGCGGTGAACAGCCAAGATAAAATACAGATAATACAAACATTAAAAGTCCCTTAAAATTATTAAATATTTTGGCTGCAACACAGATTAAAACACCCAATTTATAAAACAAATCAAACGATTTAAAAATTTAAAAGGGAGAGTTAGGCCAGGCCAGCCTGCTGAAATAAAAAAGTTTTGAGAGCACGACGAAACGTGCGCAGATCCGGGATCCTCTGTATCTCTGGGGGGAGCTCGTTCCAGATGGTAGGTGCCCCCACAGAGAAGGCTCTCCCCCTGGGGGCCGCCATTCGACACTGTTTGGCCGACGGCACGCTGAGAAGCCCCTCTCTATGGGAGCATACTGGTCGGTGAGAGGCTATTGGTAGCAGAAGGCGGTCTCGTAAATACCCCGGTCCGATGCCATGGAGCGCTCTAAAGGTGGTAACCAAAACCTTTGCAACTCCCGGTAGGCCAACCATGGTTAAATCCAAGAAAAGAAAAGTTTCAGAACAAAACAGAACATTTAATCCAACTACATATGCTAGTTTTGTGGCCGCTCAAGAAACAGTCAGGCACGGGAAGGGTTTTGTGGCTCCTGGTGTTTTCTTTTCTGTGGGAAACGGGTCCAAATGGCTCTTTTGAGTGTTTAAGGTTGCAGACCCCTGGTCTAGATTAATGAAAAGGATTGAGGACGGGGGGACGGGGGACATGAATGCAGTGTTCCAATATTTGAGGGGTCGACACTAAGAAGAGGGGAGTCAACCTCTTCTCCAAAGCACCAGAAGGCAGGACAAGAAGCAACGGATGGAAAGTTACAAAGGAGAGAAGCAACCTGGAATTGAGGAGAAACTCCCTGACAGCGAGAACAATTAATCAGCGGAATTGCTTTCCTCCAGAAGTTGTGGATGTCCAACACTGGAGATTTTAAAGAAGAGATTGGACAGCAATTTGTCTGAAATGACATGGGGAGTTGGACTAAAAGATCTCCACAGTCCCTTCCAACTCGGTTATCCTGTTACTCTGCTATTCCTTATAAATCATGGGGTGGGGGGGATTTGCCTCTCTATGTTTTCAGGTTTCTCCGAGATTACGATGAGCTGTTCCCTCTGGCAGATGATGTCAGCCTCCTCCAACAAGCCTCTTCAGCGCTGTATCCTTTGGCACTGACGTGAACCCGTTAGTTCTGTCCATTTTCATCACGTGACCATGGGGATGCCACGCTCGTCATAAGTGTGAAAAAATGGTCATCGGTCTCTCTTGTGCTGTTGTAACTTCGGTCACTAAACGAACTGTTGTAAATTGAGAACCACCTGAAGCAACAGAGCTACTATTTAAGCTCCGGTGGGGGCAGTGGTTAAAATGCAGCATTGCAGGCAAACTCTTGCCCACTGCCAGCAGTTCGATCCTGACCGGCTCAAGGTTGACTCAGCCTTCCATCCTTCCGAGGTCGGTAAAATGAGGAGACTGAGATTGTCGGGGGTGATAGGCTGACTCTGTAAACTGCTTAGAGAGGGCTGTAAAAGCACGGGTGAAGCGGTCTATAAGTGTTCTGACCTAGGCGTTGACCCAAACCACGAAGCAGACTCCTTGTCCCGACAAAAAAACCCTTTTTATTAGGTTACTGTGAATTCCTCTCATTCACATCCAGCAAAGTCTTTCAAGGGAGAATTTACAGTCACGGACCTTATCGGGCTTGGAGAGCTGCCAGGCCGATATCTTCAAAACTTGGCAAGGAGTCACGAACCAATTAAGCGAATTAATTGTCTCCTGCAAACTCCACTCCCCTTTTGCTCCTCTTTTATTCCCTCTGGGAGGGGCCATTTATCATCCACCTGTGGCTTTACTCCCGAGTTGGCCCTTGTTTCTTAGCTGTTCACTTCTCCTGGCAGTGCATGTGCACATCGGGAACAGGCTCCAGCTGTTCTTCTCCCCCACTGATGTCCGACTCTGAAGGCAGGTAATAACTGTCGGATGGCCCTGGCCCCCTCTCTGCCTCCGACGCAGAGCCCTCATCAGAGCCTTCCCCCGACTCCAGGACTGGCCCATGTTCCTCCCCAACCTCCTCACTGTCTGAGTCTGCCACCAGCTCTGCTGGCCACTGGCGGGCCACAACAATAAGTCTAAGCGCTATTGCTATTGAATGTTCTGTTGTCTACGGAGAATCGGGAATCTGCCCTTGACACCATGGGACAGAGATGAAACTCGAACGTCTTACATTTTGCAAGCTGTGGAAAGTGCCTGGGACAAAACAGATAGAAGGAGGAAAACGATCCAAGATCCACCCCTCTCTGTAACCGCAACCGGGGCCGTCACAGTCCCCGGAGCGTCAGAGCGAATGGAACACTTTGAGGAACAGGATCGCCTGGAGGTAAGTGTTTGGAGCAGAGCATCAGCCTACAACAAAGATGGCCGATTTAGGCCTTTCTTCTAGGGAGGAGACCTATCTAGGTCAACCGTTGGCCAACTGAGAAGGGCCATTTCAAGCAGGGTGCCAGGACAGAGGAGAGGGAGACTTAAAATAGATCCGAAAGTTTGTGTGGGTCTTAGAGAAAATAACGCTTGCCTTCTTCCTGAGGGCATCTACCGTAAGCAGCTGCCAAAAAAGCCAACACAGTTCTAGGCTGCATCAAGAGAGGGATAGAATCAAGATCACATGAAGTGTTAATACCACTTTATAAGGCCTTGGTAAGGCCACACTTGGAATACGGCATCCAGTTTTGGTCGCCACGATGTAAAAAAGATGTGGAGACTCTAGAAAGAGTGCAGAGAAGAGCAACAAAGATGATGAGGGGACTGGAGGCTAAAACATAGGAAGAACGGTTGCAGGAACTGGGTATGTCTAGTTTAATGAAAAGAAGGACTGGGGGAGACATGATAGCAGTGTTCCAATATCTCAGGGGTTGCCCCAAAGAAGAGGGAGTCAAGCTATTCTCCAAAGCACCTGAGGGCAGGACAAGAAGCAACGGGTGAAAATTAATCAAGGAGAGAAGCAACTTAGAACTAAGGAGAAATTTCCTGACAGTTAGAACAATTAATCAGTGGAACTACTTGCCTCCAGAAATTGTGAATGCTCCAACACTGGAAGTCTTTAAGAAGATGTTGGATAACCATTTGTCTGAAGTGGTGTAGGGTTTCCTGCCTGGGCAAGGGCTTGCGCTTCCAACTCTGTTATTTTGTTCTGTTAACCTTGTGGAGCACAAAAGTCCATCCAGGGATGGACGCTGGTTTGCAGTGGGACAGAAAATCAGAATTTGGGTTAACGGATGGTTGCTGCATTTGATTTAGGTGTATTTGGGGTGCTTCTCGGTTGGACTTTTTCATCCTCTTGGTATATGTAACATGGCTTATTGATTTGATCTGTCTAGTGTGCTGGAGCAGCTGCAGCTCCCGTAGCCCCTATCTCTGGAGTAGAGCTGGATTCCCTGATCTCTCAGGTGAAGGATCTGCTCCCTGACCTTGGAGAAGGCTTTGTCCTGGCCTGCTTGGAGGAGTACAACTACAACGTGGAACACGTCATCAACAACCTTCTAGAGGACAAGTTGACGGCCTCCCTACAGACGCTTGACAGAACTATGCCTAGGTAAAGTTGGAAGGACTTTTTTTTTTTTAATTCAGGGATGTGAATCTCTTTTGAGTAGTATGGAGATGTCCTTTATTTCTATGTGCCTGTTGATGGCTGATTTGTCTGAATGGCAGGCCTCCAGGAATTCTCTGAAGATTTTGGATTTGGTTTGATCCAGGGGTGAAATCTACTTACCTACCCTACCGGTTTGGAAGTGCACGCACCATGCGCGCGTCATTTGCTCTGCTTGCGCACGCGTGCGTCACATGTGCACACGGATCCTCTGCACATGCGCAAACCCTTCTGTGCATGCACAGAGGGTAAAAGACAGGTTACTTCCTGGTTAAAACCAGGAAGTAACGACAACTGGGCAAGTGGGCAGAGACATGAACCGGTAGCATTTCACCCCTGGTTTAATCTAGGATGGTCACAGTTTCCCAAATGAAACTACAGTTGAGTTTGTTCATGTGTTGTGAAATTAAGGAGCTTTCATCATGTCTTCTGACTACTAGTTGATGTTCATCAACAGGTCATCAACAGGCACTTTATTGTTTCACACCTGTAGACAGAATCTTACCAGACTGAGGATTCTTTTCTCTGCATCTACAGTATACACTGGGAACTATTAAGGAGGAGCTGCCCTCACCCACTTTCTCTCACACATAATATCCAGACTGAGTTGCCTCTTCCTCCTCTGGAATGCAGCCCCTCCCTCCTGGGGATCCACCTCCATAACTACATTCCATCACATCATGTGTGGACTTCAAACTCCCAAAATTCTTCATCCACCATGTGTCAGGCCCCAAACAAAGAATGACACATGGTGATACTTCTGAGCCGAGTTCCTTATCATTTCACACCTGTAGAAAGAATCTTGCCAGACTAAGGATTCTTTTCTCTGCATCTATAGTATACACTGGGAACTATTAAGGAGGAGCTGCCCTCGCCTTCTTTCTCTCACACATAATATCCAGACATGAGTTGCCTCTTCCTCCTCTGGAATGCAGCCCCTCCCTCCTGGGGATCCACCTCTAAAACTACATTCCATCACATCCTATGTGGACTTCAACTCCCAAAATTCTTCAGTCACCACATGTGGACTCCAAACTCCCAGGATTCCTCGGTCCCCAAACAAAGAGTGACACATGGGGATACTTCCGAGCCGAGTTCCTTATCGTTTCACACCTGTAGACAGAATCTTGCCAGACTGAGGACTCCACTCTCTGTATCCACGATATATACTCTGGGAACTCTTAAGAAGGAGCTGTCTTCACCCTCTTTCTCTCACACCTGATATCTTGGCTGAGTTGCCTCTTCCTCTCTTGGCATGTCCCCCTCCCTCCTCCTTATGACACTCCATCCCATAGGCTCCCATTCAGGGAGCGGTTTTGCAGCCCTAAAAACGGCGACATGTTTCCGGAAAGATTTGTGCCTTGTATTTCTGGAAACGAAGACTTTTGTTGCTGCTGATTTTTTGTTCGTTTGGTTTTTAACCACAACTCTTTCTGCCAGGCCTGTGAAACCAGACCCGACTCCGCTTGTCACTTCCCGATGCAACGTTTTCCAGGATGACGAGTTCGATGTTTTCAGCAAGGATGCGGTGGATGTCTCTCGGATTCAGAAAGGCAAAAGGTGAGCTTGCGCTGTTCTCATCCAATCCAGGGTTTCTCCACCGTGTTATCAGCTTTAAGATGTGGGACCAGAGGTGGTAATCAGCCGCTTCGGACGAAGGTTTTATAGTATCCTTCGCCTGGAGTGGGGAGAGAATGGAGATTTTGCAGTATCCTTCCCCTGGAGTGTAAGTTTGTAAGTTTGAATAGTCGCTAAACAAATGATTGTAAGACTATCTGTATCCAAGTGAAACATGGGCTCCTTGGTGCTATTCTGAGCTTGGTTGTTTTCTCGCAGACCTTTCATAACCAACTAGGTAATATCATCAGTGCTACAAGGGGAAACTCCCATTCCTTACTAGCACTGATGATGTTACCTAGTTGGTTATGAAAGATCTGTGAGAAAACAATCAAGCTCAGAGAGCACCAAGCACCCGAGAATCCTCCTCCTCCTTCTCATCTTTCTCCTCCTCCTCCTCTTCCACTTTTCTTCTCCTCTCCGCAAACCCCACTCCCTCCTAGCGCTGATGATGTTACTAATTTGGGTAACGAAATGTCTGCAAGAAAACTGTCACTGCGTTAAGTGTTTGCCAGCTGAGCTTTCATCCTAAGATTTACGGTAGCCTGGCCAGAGAACCTTATCTATAGTAATAGAGATAAAACTGGTCTTGTAAGACATGGGACTACTGCGCATATCTACGTTCTTTCTTTTCTTACTTCCTTTGTCCATCTGTGTGATAAGAATGCCGGTAAGATGTAGTTAGCTAGTTTTTTACTTTTACAATAAAATGTTTCTTGGAATATATACTTCGGGTTTTCTTTCTTTGAGAGTATACACCATGGAAAACAAGATCCATTCACCTCTTAATTAATTACAGTTTCCCCAGGGGGGGAAATGAGGCTGATTCACGCTTCAACAAAAACAACCAAGCTCAGGACACAGCAGCCAGGAGCCCACCGTTCAACCCTGAGCTCTTCTTTTTTTTCCAATTGGTAAAAGTCAAATGTTTAAATAAAAGGATGCCTCCCATCCACATGACCACAAGTTTTGGTACCCTTGAGTTTTCGTTCGTATTCCTCTCCACGGATGCAGGAGCGACAAATCCACCACGAAAAGCTTGCTGAACGACAAGCGCCTGGTGCAGGAGCAGAGGGAACGCTACAGCCAATACTCCGTGATCGTTGAAGAGGTCCCCGAACCGAGCGGGGGTCGCCTCTTCTCCCAGGAGGATTACGAGGACGAATACGACGACACCTACGATGGCAACCAGGTGGGAGCAAACGATGCGGACTCCGACGATGAGCTGATCAGCAGAAGGTAAGCCAGCAGCCACCTGCGCCATCTCCGCTTTCCAATGGGGATCTAGACCAGTGGTAGGGAACCTCTGGCATGCGTGGTGGAGGTGGCACTCAGCCCTCTCTGTGGGCGTGTGTGCCATCGGCCTAGCCCAGCTCCATTGCAGTTTCTCCCACAGGGAGTAAAGAGGGAGGGAGGGAGGGAGAGAGAGAGAGAGGGAGAGAGAGAAAGATATTACAAAAGTTTTCAAAGTATTTCAAAAGCAGGAAAAAAAATGAAGGGGCATAAAAGTGCATTTATCATGTTTTTCTTAGAACAGTTTGTTTGTTTGTTTGTTTGTTTGTTTGTTTATTGGTTCAATTTAGATGCCGCCCTTCTCCGGAGACTCAGGGCGGCTTACAATGCGTTAAGCAATTAGCCTTCATACTTTTGTAAATCGTTTAATTTGTTTTATAAATGGGGTGTTTTAAATTTGTTTTTCGGCCAAAATATTTAATAATTTTAATGGACTTTTAATGGTTTGTATTATCTGTATTTTATCTTGGCTGTTCACCGCCCTGAGTCCTTCGGGAGTAGGGCGGTATAGAAATTTGATAAATAAATAAATAAATATACCTGCTTAGTAGGGCTTTCGCCCCCCCGTAAGAGCTGTTCTTTTTTTATACAAAGTCAGCTTATTGCCCCCACAATCCGGGTCCTCATTTTACCTACCTCGGAAGGATGGAAGGCTGAGTCAACCTTGAGCCTGGTGAGATTTGAACTTGCAGTAATTGCAGGCAGCTGGTGCTACTTTAACAGCACTTTAGTCTGCTGCGCCACCAAGGCTCTTATTTATGATAGAACGATAGAAGGCTCTTATTTAGCTGAACTCTGCCTTGTTTATCATTATTTCAGGTAGTCAAACCTCATTATTCAGGTTAAATTGCCGTATTGGCAATTCGCGATAAATAAGTGGGGTTTGGGTTGCAGTTTGGGCACTCGGTCTCTAAAAGGTTCACCATCATTGATCGAGAGACCAAGGGGACATGGTGACTCAGTGGCTAAGATGCTGAGCTTGTCGATCGAAAGGTCGGCAGTTTGGCGGTTCGAATCCCTAGCGCCGCGTAACGGGGTGAGCTTCCGTGACTTGTCCCAGCTTCTGCCAACCTAGCAGTTCGAAAGCATGTAAAAAATTGCAAGTAGAAAAATAGGGACCACCTTTGGTGGGAAGGGAACAGCGTTCCGTGCGCCTTTGGCGTTGAGTCACGCCGGCCACATGACCACGGAGACGTCTTCGGACAGCGCTGGCTCGTCGGCTTTGAAACGGACTAGAAGACCTCCATGGTCCCTTCCAACTCTCTTCTCCTATTCTATTCTAAATTGGCTGTGGAGAGTTGGCCGTGGTGAATTGGCCATGGCTAACGGGCTGTGACTAATTGGCCGTGGCCGAGTTGCCCCATTCCGCTCTTGATGAGTCTGACTGTGTGATTGTCCCATCTTCCTGAAGGCCGTTCACCATCCCGCAAGTCCTGAGGTCGAAAGAAGAAGAGGAGCCGGAGGAAGAGGAGGATGAAGAAGAGGAGATGGAGGACAAAGAGGCAACAAAGGTGACGATCTGGAATTCTGGAGGGAGGGAAGAGGCTGTGGAACAGTCCTGCCGTTCGAACAGGAAAAAAGGATAGGCAGCTCCCGGGAGCTCGGAAGAGAGCAGAAGCCGCAGCTCCTCCAAGTTGTCTCGAGTGAGAAATTTTGCGACCTCCAAAATGAGCAACAAGGAATGGTTCCCTTCTCTCTTTGTTAAGGAAGGACTGTCTCTTAAATAGCACACTACTCAGTACTACTAAGTAATAATACTAAGTAATGATACTGTGTTTCCCCGAAAATAAGACCGGGTCTTATATTAATTTTTGCTCCAAAAGATGCATTAGGGCTTATTTTCTGTTTAGGTCTTATTTTGGGGGGAAATATGGTACTAAATGCACCCAACTGGCTGACAGTCTTAACTAGGGCTTATTTTGGTGGGTAGGGCTTATATTACGAGCATCCTGAAAAATCATGCTAGGACTTATTTTCCGGTTGGGTCTTATTTTCGGGGAAACAGGGTACTAAGTAATAATATTAGCTAATTGCTAAGTAATAATACTAAGTAATCATACTAAGTAATAGTACTAAGTAAGTAATAGTACTAAGTACTATTAAGTAGCACACTACTCGGTACTACTCAGCACACTGGAGAATGTCTCTATTCTCTGGGAAAACTATTTTTTTTTTTTTATTTGATTTATATGCCGCCCTTCTCCAGAAACTCAAGGCGGCTTACAATGCGTTAAGCAATAGCCTTCATCCTTTTTGTATATTTATACAAAGTCAGCTTATTGCCCCCACAAACTGGGTCCTCAATTTACCTACCTTAGAAAGGATGGAAGGCTGAGTCAACCTTGAGCCTGGCGAGATTTGAACTTGCAGCTGATGTTAATAACAGTGCTTTAGTCTGCTGCGCCACCAGGGCTCAACTTGGTAGGGGGGAAAAAAACCCTTGAGAGTGGGTGGCTGTTTACTGTTGATCACCACTGTTGATCAGTGGTGAAATCCAAATTTTTTTACTACCAGTTCTGTGGACGTGGCCGGTGGGCATGGTGTGGCTTGGTGGGTGTGGCAGGGGAAGGATACTGCAAAATCTCCATTCCCTCCCCACTCCTGGGGGAAGGATACTGCAGAATCCCCATTCCCTCCCCACTCTGGGGCCAGCCAGAGGTGGCATTTGCCGGTTGTCCGATCTACTCAAAATTTCTGCTACCAGTTTGCCAGAACCTGTCAGAACCTGCTGGATTTCACCCCAATAATGGTCCTCTACTGCTATGAATGGTTCATATAAATCAGTTGAAGTTTTTTCGGCAAGCACTTATTCGCTTCAAACTCCCTACCCCACCCCACCCCTTTCTAGGCAAGCGACCTTCCTCATCTCAAGGAGGGAAGCTTGATTAGATCCCTTTGACTATGGACTGGCCTAGAAACATATCACCAGTATTATCTTGTGCTCTTGAGAAAGGTCCAGAGAAAGGATCCAGAGAAAGCATGAACTCCTTGCTGGATCCTAGTAAGGCAGGAGCTTGGAGGTAGGAATAATTAGGGACATGGCCGAAACTTTTCTGACCATACAAGAAGGAACATTGGAAGACCCAGTTCACCATGTCTCATTCCTCCTTTTGTCTCTGGTGGCCAGCATGACAAAGCAATCGTCAAGGTGTTTCCTCTTGCAGAACATACCTCTGCGGCCATCAGCCTGGGAAAAAGACTGAATTTCCAGGAGGCAAGACAGCTGGCTCAGTGGGTGGCCGTACCAGCTATCCCTTGAGTCCCGGTGTCCGGTGTCCACATGCCATGGAGTTGACAGTTCTGGTCCTTGGAGGGAGAATATTTTAATGGTAGACGCTCAAAAGGCTGGCACTTAACATTTTATGAAGTCATCTATTCTCAAGCCTGCTCTGTCTCTGGAGGAACTGGTAGATACGAAAAAGAAACTTTGCGTTTTGTATATCTATATCTATACATATACAGGCAGGGGTGAATTTTTTTTTTTTTTAATTTGATTTATATGCCGCCCTTCTCCGGAGATTCAGGGCGGCTTACAATGCGTTAAGCAATAGCCTTCATTCTTTTGTATATTTTATACAAAGTCAGCTTATTGCCCCCACAAACTGGATCCTCAATTTACCTACCTTAGAAAGGATGGAAGGCTGAGTCAACCTTGAGCCTTGGAGAGATTCTAACCAGCAGAAATTGCAGGCAGCTGTGTTAATAACAGGGTGCACTAAACCACTGTACTATCAAGGCTCTTGGTTCGGGCCAGTTTGCCTGAACTGGTAGTAAAAATTGCTATCGTTCGCCCGAACCGCTGGTAAAAAAATGCTTTAAAAGTACGACAATCAGCTGTCGCCCAGTTGATTGTTGTACTTTTTAAGCATTTAAAAAGGAACTTTTTAAATGGAACTTTTTTAAACTTTTTTTTTGTTTAGCATTTCTTTACTACCTATTTGCCGAAACCATAGTAAAAAAAATGCTAAAAAAGTATTTTAAAAGTTCCAAAGATCAGCTGTGCGACAATCAGCTGTGCCGGGCAATGTCGGAACTTTTTTTAAAAAAAAATTTAAAGCATTTTTTTACTACCAATCATGTTAAGGATATAGTTGTGAGATAACCAGGAACGGTTATGAAGCAGAGCGTAGAGTTTTGCGCACGGAAACGGTGCTGAGAGTAGTTGTGAATAAACTGCATACAAACTGGTTTCTAAAGTAGTTTACTTATAGAGCAAAGCAAATTCATAGCCTTTTACCAATCTAAGTCAGCCATGCATAATCAATCCACAGATAACAAAACTTCTTACCGGTTCGTAGAACAATACATGAATCATTCAGGAACAATATAAAAACAGTTCATAAAAGCAGTAATAAATAAAACCATGATCAAATTGACCATGTAAAAGGATCAAAGAGATCTACAACATAGCAGCAGGTAACAATATGATGTAATGTCCACATACTATATCTTTTTCCTTGGTAACAGGATCACTTCGTTCAAGATCCAGCAGTGCTGCGGGAGCGAGCGGAGGCCAGGCGGATGACCTTCCTCGCAAGGAAAGGGTAAGGATTCCCCCAAAGCCCCCCCTCCCACTTTGTCCTGAGTTCCAGGCATCCAATCTAGGATTGCATATTGCCAAGATGGCTTGGTAGTCTGGGAGTAGCAGTTCCCGCCCAATTAGAGGGTACCAGATATTTAGAACATGGAATAATAGATCTGGAAGAGACCTTGGGGGTCTTCTAATCCAACCCCTTCTCAGGCAGGAGGCCCTGTGCCATTTCAGACAAATACCGTATTTTTTCGGAGTATAAAACGCTCTGGACTATAAGACGCACCTACCTTTTTTGGGGAGGAAAACAAGAAAAAAAAAAATCTGCCTCTGCCTCCCAGCAATTTGCCTCCTTGCAGCAAACAGCGGAGGCCGGCAATAGGCAACGGCAATCTCTTTGCAGACTGAAACAGCTGATGGTCGGGAGGCCGATCCAACTGACAATCAGCTGCTTGTGCTAATCAGGCTGTGCTGAAGCTGAAACCCTCTTTTCACCCTCTTTTGGGGGGGAGGGGAGAAGTGTGTCTTATACGCCAAAAGATAGGGTAGCCGTTCAGTCTCTTCTTAAAAACCTCCAGTGATAGAGCACCCATAACTTCTGGAAGCTGGTTAATTGTTCGGGATTTTTTTTTAGTTCTAGCTTGCTTCTCTCCTTGATTAGTTTCCATCCGTTGTTTCTTCTCCTGCCTTCTGGTGCTATGGAGAATAGCTTGACCTCCCACTCTTTTGTGGCAGTCCCTCAAATATTGGAATACTGCTATCACGTCTCCCCTAGTCCTTCTTTCCATTAAACTAGACATACCCAGTTCGGTTTTCTCTCACAGGCCAAAGCCGGATAACTCAGCAGCCGTGACTGGTGCTGCCAAGGGCCGCGGCCAAAGCCGAGAGACGGTACAGGAGCGACGGAAGAAAGAAGCCAGCAAGGGGGCGAGGGCAAACCACAACAGACGCGCGATGGCCGACCGGAAGCGCAATAAAGGCATGATCCCGTCTTGAAAAAAAGTGACGCGCCAGGGAGGCGTGTTTTGGAATTGCTCCCACCCACCCCACCCACCCCCCAACCAGGAGAGAAAAAGCACCTTGCCTTTTGTAAAGATGGTTTTCCTAGGGAAGCACAAATCCACACACGATTACCGACCTGCCAATAGGGTTGTGTCGAGCAGCTTGTGGAAATTGTGCGTTGTTGAGAAATGCAGTTTCTTTAAACCGCTCCTCCGGAAACTTTTGCCGTTTTTGAGTTGTCCTATTATGTTCCTCTGTCAGACCTGCCTCAGTCTGAGCTCCTGGGAAAGTGAAACCCTCGATTCCCATTTGATGGAAGTGGAAAAGCACTTAAAGAGATGCTGATTGCAGCAGTCAGACGTTCCCATGCGCCACTATAGAACCCTCTGGTTCCCCCCCAACCCTTCCCCCACCCCCACCCCCACCCCCATAGTCCATATGTGTATAGCCAATCTGACATTGCCGAGATGTTTTGGGAAACGCTGAGATGTTTGGGTTGGTGAAATTCCACTCTCAGGGTAATCGGCCTTGAAGATCCCAGCGTGCCAACATAAACCAGATTCCAAACTGCCTGCTCTTCCGTCAATTCCCCCCACCCTCCAATTTCCCATCCTAAAGCTACACAGCTTCGTTGCCCATTTATTCCCCCGTCCCTTCCCCGATGGATTTGCAGGACACCAACAAGGCACCAGTCCTGCTCAAAAGCCAGCTCACGTTTTCTTCCACTGTGGGTTTTTTTTTTTTTTCCCCAGCCGAGTTGAAACTTCCACCTCAACTCGATATTGCGCTGCAAAATGTTGGCTTCCGGCGGTCTAATTTGTAAGCCCCACGGCGAGGTGGGCAGCAAATAAAATACATTTCGGCATTGTGATCACACGAGTGGGATGGGGACCGTTTCCATTGGCTCAAACTGCTCCCGAACAAGGAAATCGCATTCAGTCCCCTTCTGCTGACATCTTGGCTTCAGTGGATTTTTTCCTGCAACCTAACGGAAGACCTGGGGGTCCAGGTGTTACACCTCAAAAGTTGTCTGTGTCAGGGTGGATTTGATTTAAATCAAGTTGATTTAAATCACAATTTAAATCATGATTTAAATCACTAGTAAAAAGGCTTGATTTAAATCAACTCGATTTAAATCATTTTTAAAGAGCAACTGTCATCTCTGCTACTCCTTTGACCCACTGCTGACTCACCGATAGTCCCAGTGTTGCAAAATATACAGCCTCATGCTACATAACTAAGCTCCATTTCATGCTGAATAAACTAAATTATTTATGTATCTTAAACAGAAAACTATCTTACCATAGATTTTTTTACCCCAAAAGTTTTTTATTAAAATAAATTCGATAAAAATCAAAAAAAATCCGATATAAATTAAAAAAAATCCGATTTAAAAATCAAAAAAAATCTGATTTTTTTGATTTTTAAAAAAACATCGATTTTTATCCACCCTGGTCTGCGTGCAACTACTGATTTAGGGTTCTTAGTAACACCTAATAGGGCGGATCCTTCCTACTCTTCCACTCGAACTAATACAAATTTAGTTCGGGCTGTTAGCATCAAAGTACGAAGGTTGATAATCCTACCCTTATGCTAGCTTATTGAGAATGATCACAAATCTTAAATATCATCCCCCCCTCCAGATTTAAGAGTTGGAAGGGACCTTATAGGTCATCTAGTCCAACCCCCCGCTCAAGCAGAAGATCCTACACCATTTCTGACAGATGGCAGTCCAATCTCTTCTTGAAAGCCTCCAGTGATGAAGCTCTGGTGGCAATTTATGGGTTGATTGTTGTCATTGTCAGAAAAATTCTCCTTATTTCTAGGTTGAATCTCTCCTTGTTCAGTTTCCATCCATTATTCCTTGTCTGGCCTTCGGGTGCTTTGGAGAATAGCTCGACACCCTCCTCTCTGTGGCAGCCCCTCAAATATTGGAACCCCCTTTCCCCCAGAACATGTGTATGTGCGCAGGCATGCATGCACAGGGAATGTTACATATTAAAAGAAATAGAACAGCCTGTATCTCATGCAAGAGGACAGGCTAAGTCTACTCTGAATGTTTAATATAGAATCACAGGCTCCCAACCACATTTTCCATCGCTAAACAAGGCAGTGGTTGAGTTTTGCCCCATTCTACAACCTTTTTGCCAATCGTTAAGCAAATCACTGCAGTTTGGAAGTGAACCATACGGCCATTAAGTGAATCTAGCTCCCCCCCCCACCAACTTTGCTTGTTGGAAGCCGGCTGGGAAGGTTATAAATTGTGATCACGGGATCCCAGGACCCTGCCACTTGTCATAATATATATGCCAAGTTGCCAAAGCAGCTGAATATTGATCGTGATTGTGGAGTTAAGTGTAAAAACTGGCCATAAGTTATTTTCTCCCCAACTTCGTCGTAATTTGGGTCCCTAAACAGAATAGTTGTAAGTTGAGGATCACCCGTGACATAGTGACCCTTGAAATGGGAAAGTCAAAATTTAATATGACAAGCTTTGTTATATCTAACGGGCGATTCCAACCCAAAGCTGCAAGCAAGATTATTTATTTATTATTTATTTATTAGTTCAATTTATATGCCGCCCTTCTCCAAAGACTCAGGGCGGCTTACAACGCACTTATAGCAATAGCCTTCATACTTTTGTATATACCTGCTTAGTAGGGTTTTTTGGGCCCCCCTAAGCGGTGTTCTATTTTATACAAAGTCAGTTTATTGCCCCCACAATCCGGGTCCTCATTTTACCTACCTCGGAAGGATGGAAGGCTGAGTCAACCTTGAGCCTGGTGAGATTTGAACTCGCACTAATTGCAGGCAGCTAAGTGCTACATAACAGCACTTAGTCCGCTGCACCACCAAGGCATTTGGTGATATGATAACTTTTGTTGCATCTTGCACTACAACTTCACTACTAGATGACCGGATTGAAAGAAGAAAAACAAAACGACAATACCCACAACAAAGCATTTGCCAAACGCCCCCCCCCCCCCTCCGGGCATTCCGCAACTTCCAAGTGACACAAGGTAGTAGTCCAGAATATACTTGTCTCAGAGAGTGCATTTTATTAAGCTGTTTTTCAGCCAAAAGAAAAAAGTCATTTGAATCTCTTCATCGCTTGGGGAGTCGCGCACACTGGGCCATCGTGCAAGGATGAACATCTGCTGGACGAACAGCTGGCGGCAAACCAAAGGGCTGTTGGGTGAAGATGGCGGAGGATCCAACCGGAATCCAGGGTTTTGCTGGCCGTGCCTCAGTCCTGCTTGATCTCGTATTTGTGCTTGATGTCTTTCCAGAGTCTCTGCAGAGACACAAACAAGCATGGAATTAAGATACTTGGGGAACGCTCGATCGCTATGAAACAAAACATCATTCCACAATCGCAGCCCACGCAGGACGCAGAATGGAATTCGCTAGCTTGTTACCTAACCCGCACCCTACCTCCCCCAAAGTACTTAAGGTGCCTAAAAGAGGAAAGTACCGTATAAGATGCACCTACCTTTTTTGGTGAGGAAAAGAAAAAGAAATCTCCCTATCTCTGCCTCTGAGCAATTTTGCCTCCTTGCAGCAAACAGCCTGCTTTACTTTCAGTTTCGTTTTCAGCACAGCTTGATTAGCACAAGGGGGGAAAAAATCTGCTCCAGCAATTGCAGCAAGCAGCAGAGGCTGCTGCAAAACAGCTGAGAGTCGGGAGGCCAATCCAATCAACTAGTGCTAATTAGGCTGTGCAGAAGCTGAAAGGAGCTGTTTCTTCTTGCTGCTTGCTGCAAGGAGGTAAATTGCTGGGAGGCAGAGGCCAAAGGGTGGGCGGGGCTACATTCGGTGTATAAGACACACCTAAATTTTCACCCCCTTTTTGGGGGAAAAAGGTGGATCTTATACTCTGAAAAATACGGTACCTTCAAGGGTAAAAAGATTATGTGTGAGTGTGTATACATATGGTCTACCTCCATTTCTGCGCATGTATAAATGTATGAATAGAATAACAGTTGGAAGGGACCTTGGAGGTCTTCTAGTCCAACCCCCTGCTCAGGCTTTTAGGAAACCCTATACCATTTCAGTGTACATATATTACATCACTGTGTATCTCTGTACGTGGATGGGTGGGTGTATGAGAGCCAGTTAAACCACCTAAGAAACTAAGAGGCCATGAGTTCTAATTCTGCCTTAGGCACAAGGTCATCTTGGGTGACCTCCAGCCAAACGACTTTCTTTCAACCTTGGGAAGAAGACAACCGCAAAACAATTCTGAAATCTTGCCAAGAAAACTGCGGAGCCGTGGCCAAGCAATCTCCGAGAAAGATAAATATTTGTAGCTCAGGGTTGAAGTGAAGAGTCCTTGGTAGTCTCTGAGATGGGTGGTTTTCTTGCAGATGTTTCATGACCCAGCTAGGGAACATCATCAGTGTTAGCAGGAGGACTGTGGGGTCCTTGGTGCTCTCTGACCTTGGTGGTTTTCTTGCAGACGTTTCATGACCCAACTAGGGAACATCATCAGTGCTAAGAGGAGGACTGTGGGGTCCTTGGTGCTCTCTGACCTTGGCGGTTTTCTTGCAGACATTTCATTACCCAGCTAGCTAACATCATCAGTGCCAGGAGGAGAACTGTGAGGTCCTTGGTGCTCTCTGACCTTGGTGGTTTTCTTGCAGACGTTTCATGACCCAACTAGGGAACATCATCAGTGCTAGGAGAAGGAGGACTGTGGGGTCCTTGGTGCTCTCTGACCTTGGTGGTTTTCTTGCAGACGTTTCATGACCCAACTAGGGAACATCATCAGTGCTAGGAGGAGGAGGACTGTGGGGTCCTGGGTGTTCTCTTAGCTTGGTGGTTTTCTTGCAGACGTTTCATGACCCAGCTAGCTAACATCATCAGAGCTAGGATGACGACTCTGGAGTCCTTGGTGCTCTCTGACCTTGGTGGTTTTCTTGCAGACGTTTCATGACCCAACTAGGGAACATCATCAGTGCTAGAAGGAAGTGGGGTTTGCAGAGAGGAGGAGAAGGAGGTGATGGAGGAGGAGGAAAAGGAATGTGGGGTCCTTGGGGCTCTCTGACCTTGGTGGTTTTCTTGCAGACGTTTCATGACCCAGCTAGCTATCATCATCAGTGCTAGAAGGGAGTGGGGTTTGCAGAGAGGAGGAGGAGGATTAGGAGGAGAAGGAGGAGAACTGTGGAGTTCCTGGTGCCCTCTGAGCTTGATTCCCACCCAAGCCCCGTTTCACCCCAAGACACCCAGCCTCCCCAGGCTTGCAATGCGGCTGCAGAAGACCAACAGCCGAAAGCGCACACCTCTGGCAAGCCCAGAAAGGCAGGCCGCAGCGAAGCACCTGCTTTCCAAAAAAAAAAAAAAAAAGTGCCTTGCCCTATACCTAGAAGCAGCGCGATAAGGCCGAAGCCTCGGCCTCGAGTGAAACGCCAGCCCGCCTGACCTTCAACTGACTCCGGCCGCCTTTCACGCAAGTCCCCGGCTGGGGCCTGCTCGCCCACGGGGGCCGACTTACCCCTTCGTTGAGGCGGCAGAAAATCGCCTCCGTGGCCTGGTCGAAGCCCCGCTCGAAAATCACGGCGCCCACCACGACCGTGAAAACCAGCGTGGACGTGCGACGGAAGACGAACCGGTACAGCTGCTGCACCAACGCCATCTTGGACGCTTGAGGCTACCGCGCAGGCGCACTGCTGCCTTCGGTCCACGTGGGGGGGGGGAAGAGGAGAAAAAAAAAATGCGCCGCGCTGAATTCTGGGCTTTGAAGTCCGATGCCCCCTTCAGGCGCGCAGCTCTTCCGTTTAAGGGAAACTGAACTACGTTTCCCAAGATGCCCCGCCGTTCGTTAAAGCTTGAATGGCCGACCGCGGAGGCCTCTGGGATTTGAATGCTGAAACAGGCGGAGGGAGAAATCCTGGACCGCAGAGCGAGGAGGGTGAGTTAGTAGGGTCTGCTTGGACCCCGCTTTGCGGGTTATCCAGGGTCCTGGAGAGGTAGGGCAGGTACTACAGTTCCCATCATTAATAAAGGAGAATATTTGTAAGCTCAGGGTTGAAATGAAGGGTCCTGGGGGCTCTCTGTAGCTTGGCTCTTTTCTTGCAGACGTCTCATGACCCAGCTAGCTAACATCACCAGTGGTAAGAGGAGGAGGAGGACGGTGGGCTCCTGGGTGTTCTCTGAACTTGGCTGTTCTCTTGCAGACATTTCATGACCCAACTAGGGAACATCTCTGGGGGCTCTCTGAGCTTGGCTATTTTCTTTCAGACGTTTAGTGACCCAGGTAGATAACATCATCAGTGCTAGGAGGAGGAGAAGGAGGACTGTGGGGTCCTGGGGGCTCTCTGAGCTTGGCTATTTTCTTTCAGACGTTTAGTGACCCAGGTAGATAACATCATCAGTGCTAGGAGGAGGAGGAGGAGGACTCTGGGGTCCTTGGTGCTCTCTGAGCTTGGCTGTTTTCTTGCAGACGTCTCATGACCCAGCTAGCTAACATCATCAGTGCTAGGAGGAGGATTGTGGGGTCCTGGGGGCTCTCTGAGCTTGGTGGTTTTCTTGCAGACGTTTCATGACCCATGTAGATAACATCATCAGTGCTAGGAGGAGCAGGAGGACTCTAGGGTCCTGGGGGCTCTCTGAGCTTGGCTATTTTCTTTCAGACGTTTAATGACCCAGGTAGATAACATCATCAGTGCTAGGAGGAGGAGCAGGAGGACTCTGGGGTCCTGGGGGCTCTCTGAGCTTGGCTATTTTCTTTCAGACGTTTAATAACCCATGTAGATAACATCATCAGTGCTAGGAGGAGGAGCAGGAGGACTCTGGGGTCCTGGGGGCTCTCTGAGCTTGGCTATTTTCTTTCAGACGTTTAATGACCCAGGTAGATAACATCATCAGTGCTAGGAGGAGAAGGAGGAGGACTGTGGGGTCCTTGGTGCTCTCTGAGCTTGGTTGTTTTCGTGCAAACGTTTCATGACCCAGCTAGGGAACATCATCAGTGTTAGGCGGAGGAGGAGGACTGTGGGGTCCTTGGTGCTCTCTGAGCTTGGCTGTTTTCTTGCAGACGTTTCATGACCCAGCTAGATAACATCATCAGTGCTAGAAGGGAGTGGGATTTGCGGGGACGGGGGGGAGGAGAAGGAGGTGGTTGTTTAGGAGGAGGTCATCCTGGCTGCTTTCTGAGCTTGGTGGTTTTCTTGCAGACGTTTTATTATCCAACTAGGTAGCATCATCAGTGCTAATAAGTGTTGTTTACTCTCACTTTACAATCTAGTGGCTTGTCTTGTCAGTGTTGGTGGGGACGGTCTTAGGGCTGTTTGCTTTTGGCTTCTTTGGCGGTTTCTTGTAGGTGTCTTGTTTCCCTCTGATGCCTACGTAGAGATTCCAGACTAATTCTTCCTTTGACTACTCCCCGGGGACTCAGCTACTCTGGCCCAGGAGCAAACTATCGGTCTGAGAAGATTCCTGTGCTATAGGCATGAACAATAAAATAGCTCATTGATCTCTTCACCTACGGATCTGGTTGTTTGCACCCAATCCGTATTAGTGTTTTAGTTTTTTAGCTTTTAAATTGTCAATGGTTTTTTTTTTTTTTTAATTTGATTTATATGCCGCCCTTCTCCGGAGACTCAGGGCGGCTTACAATGCGCTCAGCAATAGCCTTCATCCTTTTGTATATTTATACAAAGTCGGCTTATTGCTCCCACAAACTGGGTCCTCATTTCACCTACCTTAGAAAGGATGGAAGGCTGAGTCAACCTTGAGCCTTGGCGAGATTCGAACCTGCAGTAATTGCAGGCAGCTGGTCTTAATAAGCTTAATAACAGGGTGCCTTAAACCCCTGTAGTACCAAGGCTCTTAAGGTTTTAAAGGTTTAAAACCAAGGTTTTAATTCGAATTGTTTTAAATTTGGGCCAAAGTTATGTAATTCTTTTCATAATTTTAAATTTTGTATTGGTATGTGTTTTAGTTCTGGCTGTGCACCGCCCTGAGTCCAAGGGCGGTATACGAATTGAATAAAATTAATTAATTAATTAATTCCTGCAAGTCCCACTTCGATGCAGTGATTAAATTAGAAGCAACGTCAGGCCTGAACGTACGTTCTGTGCTGCACCGAAATGCGCCATTTTATTTATTTACCCATGAAATTGAAAGCTAGGCTGCTGTAACACACACAATAAATTCTCCGTACAATTAGAACAATGATGGTAGTACAAATCTATCCGTTGTACTTACGTTTTTTTTTTTTTTTTGCATCTAGCTAACCTACGCAGAAATGCTCAGTGAAAGCAAAACAGGGCTTCCTTTCAGAGGAATTAGATGTTAAAATGCCATCCTGACGACGAGCTGCGACTTCTGGTTTTTGCCTGCAGGAAGTTCCAGATTCAATTTTCAGCCCTGCAGGTGGTTAGGAAAAAACTCTTCCCGACAAACCGCAGGCGTCGCAGTCAAGAGCAGCGTTCCTACATGTCAAAATCCCGAACTTGCCACTTACGACGAAGCCCAAGCAAATTGGGACACGATCGCACTTCGTGTTACCTAGTGATTTCCGAGCCAAAGGCAGCCAAAGCTGATTGTGTGTATTTGTGTGGACTTTTAAAAAACAACAACATTTCTTATCAGAATTTTAAGGGACACGGTGGCTCAGTGGCTAAGACGCTGAGCTTGTCGATCAGAAAGGTCGGCAGTTCAGTGGTTCGAATCCCTTGTGCCGCGTAACGGGGTGAGCTCCCGTGACTTGTCCCAGCTTCTGCCAACCTAGCAGTTCGAAAGCAGGTAAAAAATGCAAGTAGAAAAATAGGGACCACCTTTGGTGGGAAGGGAACAGCGTTCCATGCGCCTTTGGCGTTGAGTCATGCCGGCCACATGACCACGGAGACATCTTCGGACAGCGCTGGCTCTTCGGCTTTGAAACGGAGATGAGCACCGCCCCCTAGAGTCGGGAACGACTAGCACAGATGTGCGAGGGGAACCTTTACCTTTACCTTATCAGAATTTTACAATAAAAGTATACAAGGAGGAAGTGGTTAGAGTGCAGTACTGCAGGCTACTTCTGCTGCCTGCCGGCTGCTTGCAATTTGGCAGTTCAAATCTGACCAGGCTCAAGGTTGACTCAGCCTTCCGTCCTTCCGAGGTGGGTAAAATGAGGATCTAGATTGTTGGGGGCAAATATGCTGACTCTGTAAACCGCTTAGAGAAGGCTGTAAAGCACTATGAAGCGGTATGTAAGTCTTAAGTGCTTATTGCTTTGCCCTTCCTTCCTTCCTTCCTTCCTTCCTTCCTTCCTTCCTTCCTTCCTTCCTTCCTCCCTCCCTCCTCCTCCCTCCCTCCCTCCCTCCCTCCCTCCCTCCCTTCTGTGGTGGAACAGTGGTTAGAATGCAGGATTGCAGGCTAATTCTGCCCACTGCCAAGAGTTCGATGCTGACCGGCTCAAAGTTGAGTCAGCCTTCCGTCCTTCCGAGGTGGGTAAAATGAGGACCCAGATTGTTGGGGACAACAGGGTGAGTCTGTAAACCGCTTAGAGAGGGGCTATAAAACACTGTGAAGCGGTGTGTAAGTCTAAGTGCTTATTGCTTTGCCCTTCCTTCCTTCCTTCCTTCCTTCCTTCCTTCCTTCCTTCCTTTCCTTCCTTCCTTCCTTCCTCCCTCCCTCCCTCCCTCCCTCCCTTCTGTGGTGGAACAGTGGTTAGAATGCACAATTGCAGGCTAATTCTGCCCACTGCCAAGAGTTCGATCCTGACCGGCTCAAAGTTGAGTCAGCCTTCCGTCCTTCCGAGGTGGGTAAAATGAGGACCCAGATTGTTGGGGACAATAGGCTGAGTCTGTAAACCGCTTAGAGAAGGGCTATAAAACACTGTGGAGCGGTATATTAGTTAATTTATTTTTAATTTAATTTAATTTATATTTATTAGTTAATTTGGTTTAAAATGGGATTTTGTTGTACATGTTTTTAACTTGTGTTCGCCGCCCTGAGTCCTTCTGGAGAAGGGCAGCATATAAATACATGAAATAAACAAATAAATAAATATATAAATGCTATTGCTATTGCTATTAGCAGATTCAGAATGGGGAAGAGGTACTTTTGCGATTACTGCGACCGGACTTTCCAGGACAATCTTCACAACAGGAAAAAACACTTGAACGGGGTGCAACATTTAAGAGCCAAGAAAGTCTGGTACGATCTCTTTCGAGGTAAGAAAACCGAACAGCTTCTCTGGTGTTTTGGCGGTACAGGGAGAGCTGCAGGGGTTCAAGGAGAGCTGTTGGGGGGGGTTTCCAGATGTTTCTTCTGCCCTGTCTCTCCGTATGCACATCTGGTTCGGAAAATTTTGTCAGTAGGACCAGGGCTTGGTGGGGTGGGATAGCCACGGATCTTTCTCCTGCAACTGGGAAACACAGTGTGTACCCCTTCCCGTAAAAATCTTGGATGTATATGCCCAAAGGCAAGAAAATATTGGACGGAAATATACACATGGCTGGAAAAAAATGATAAAACAACATATAGACCTGAAAGCAGAGATATTTTTGCTGGGCGTGCTACCAGAAAAATAGGATAAAAAGACTGCATATCTGATCCTGCATATACTAACTGCAACCAGAATTGTATTTGTGCAACAATGGAAAAATGATGAGATTCTGTCTGAGGGGAATGCAATTAAGAAAATATTAGATTGTGCAGAAATGGATAGATTAACACTTGCTATTAAGGATAAAGAAGCCACTGAATGTTTTTTGATACGGGACATATTCTATCAATGGCTAGATAACAGAAACAGAAGTTAGAAAGGAGGAGATATAAATGGAGGAAATGGGATAGAGGAGAGTTGTTAAAGATGAGGAGGTTAAATGTTAAGTATTAATGTTATTGTATATTGTTATATTATTAATATGATAGTGATGACTTATCACAACAAAAGATATATAAATGTGACTATTTAAACATAATTGTACCCAGAACACACACTGTTTGATGAAAATTTTATTTTATATAAAAATAAAACAAATAAAACTTGGGAAAAAAAATCTTGGATGTACCGGTACAGAGAGTCCTTAACTTGCAACCATCTGTTTAGTGACCGTTCAAAAGTTACAACAGCACTGAGAAAAATGACTTAGGATCGTTTTTCACACTGTTCCCCGATCAAAATTTGGACGCTCGCAAACCGACTCATATTTATGACCGTTTGCAGCATCCCGGAGTCACGCAGTCCCCGTCTTGCGACCTTATTGTCAAGCCAAGTCGACGGGGGAGCCAGATTCACTTAACAACCATGTGATTTAACCACCGCAGCGATTTCGCTGAACGACTCTGGCAAGAAAGGTCGTAAAACGGGGCAGGACTCAACGACGGTCTTGCTTAGCAGCGGAGATTTTGGGTTGGAGGGTTGTAAGTCGAGGAGCTACCCGTAGCCTTTAACTTACAACTGCGTGTAGCCCCACCTGCTTTTATGCCCAGAAAGAGAGTCTGTTGTGGAATCACAGCTGTTCTCTTGACATTTTTTTTTTAATATAAGCCAACTCTTCCCCCTCCGCCTCCTCCTCCTGTTTGTGATTTTTTTTTTCTTTACAGATGCTGCAACCATCTTACAGGAGGAACAGACAAAGAAACCCTGTCGGAAATTTTTGCAAACAGGTATGCTGAAGAGAGGACGCAGTGGCTCAGTGGTATGCGATGGCCCCGTAGGCCCGTTTTTCTCTCTCACCTTGCTCCAGAGTCTGGGGAGGGCTAAAACAGCCTTCCCCCACTTCCCCGGAGGCCCTCTGGAGACCATAAATGGCTCATTTGCCAACTTCTGGTGTGAAGAATGAACTAAAGGGCCACCATCAGTGAGCTGTTGGACAGCATTACTTGGTCTGTTGTGTGGATGTTTGGGAGGTTTACGGGTGGGGAATTGGTGATGGGTGGGTGGGGAGTTTTTGGGGATTGTTATGTGTGGGACCTGGTCTTTGGGTGTTAAGTGAATTTCGTTGTATGGGTATACTGTGTATACACGTACAATGACAATAAAATTATTATTATTACTATAGCGTCGTTTTGAGGGTAGAAATTTATGTCGAGGATTGGTTGCCACGTGTACTAAAACATATTTGAAAAACCTCCCCAAGTATTTCTGAAAACGAATGAAATTGCCAATTTGCAACTTGGTGGAAATGGACCTAAAAAAATCATTTCGTCATCTTGTTTTTATAATGCACGTGGTCCTCGGGGTTATGACCGCTCATTCAGTGACCACTTGGAAGTTAACGACGGGGCTGAAGGAAGGCGCTTACCAGTCCTTCAAGTTCGATAAGATTTTTTTTTTTTTCTCATAAGCGATTTGGGGTTGATGGAGGCAAAAGGTTGAGAAGGACTTCATGCTTAATTGCTTGCCTTGATCCCTTCCTTGTAGGCCACTGCGATTTTGGCTCCAACTGTAGATTTTCTCACATGACGGGGGTGGATCTCGAGAAGCTGAACCTGCAGGTACAAGGTAAGAGAAGGTGAAGTGAGAAACAGTCCAGAGAATAACAGAGTCGGAAGGGACCTTGGAGGTCTTCTAGTCCAACCCCCTGCTTAGGCAGGAAACACTCCACCACTTCAGACAAATGGTAATCCAACATCTTCTTAAAAACTTCCAGTGTTGGAGCATTTACAACTTCTGGAGGCAAGGAGTTCCACTGATTGTTCTCACTGTCAGGAAATTTCTCCTGAGTTCTAAGTTGCTTCTCTCCTGGATTAATTTCCATCCATTGCTTCTTGTCCTGCCTTCGGGTGCTTTGGAGAATAGCTTGACCCCCTTCTTTGTGGCAACCCCTGAGATATTGGAAGACTGCTATCATGTCTCCCTTAGTCCTTCTCTTCATTAAACTAAACATACCCAGTTCCTGCAACCGTTCTTCATATCTTTTAGCCTCCAGTCCCCTCATCCTCTTCGTTGCTCTTCTCTGCACTCTTTCTAGAGTCTCCACATCTTTTTTATATGGTGCTGATCGAAACTGATTGCTGCATTCCAAGTGAAAGTTTTGATTTTAAAGCGGTCAATTTTGATAAAAACACTTGTTTATATTTTTAATCCAGTGCAATGTTAACCGTTCCCCACCATGTCCACAGTAGGTGAATCGGAGCCTACCTTTAAACGGTGAATATTTTTGCACGGCGTGTTAAAATATCTTGAAAACGAACCCACTCGCTTAATATCAGAAATCATCGGCAAGGAGCTTTGCTTTAAATCACGTCCCATCTTTAGATCCCTAATGGTTTTAATCTGGATTGACTGTTTCTTATCTGTACTCTTCAAACCTCGTTTAGTTTTTTTTTTTAAGCAGCTAAGCTTCCTTCTTCCCCTCCTTCGTTTCCCATCGCTTTTATTTCTGCTCTGGGCCAGGAAGGTGGCTTCGATGGCTTGATTTTACTGCCTGCTGCTACAATTTATAGGCTGCGTGATTTCCCCCGCTTCCACACCCCCCCCCTTCCCCCACCTGATTGATGGTTGCATTTTAATTTTTACGGCTCTGGGTTGCAGGCTGCCCAGGGAACAGTGTATTACGTTGCTAGGACAGAAATCGATAAAACTGTGGCAGTCATTAAAATAGAGACAACGTAGGTATCCTTCCCTACCCCATCAGGAAGCATATAGAATTCCTCCCAAGAAAAATATGGGGAAAAGGTTACTTCCCTATCAAGCTGCACCCCCGTAGCATTTCATTTCATTTCATTCTTTTATTTTACTTTACTTTATTTTATTTTGTTTTATTTATTTTACTTTATTATTTTATTACTTTATTATTTTATTACTTTATTATTTTATTACTTTATTATTTTACTTTATTATTATTTTATTTTACTTTATTTTATTTTATTATTTTATTTTATTTTATTCTATTTTATTTTATTTTATTTTATTTATTTTGTTTTATTTATTTTACTTTATTATTTTATTACTTTATTATTTTACTTTATTATAATTTTATTTTACTTTATTATTTTATTTTATTTTATTATTTTATTTTATTCTATTTTATTTTATTTTACTTTATTTTATTTTATTTTGTTTTATTTATTTTACTTTATTATTTTATTACTTTATTATTTTACTTTATTATTATTTTATTTTACTTTATTATTTTATTTTATTTTACTTTATTTTATTTTGTTTTGTTTATTTTACTTTATTATTTTATTACTTTATTATTTTACTTTATTATTACTTTATTTTACTTTATTTTATTATTTTATTTTATTCTATTTTATTTTATTTTACTTTATTTTATTTTATTTTGTTTTATTTATTTTACTTTATTATTTTATTACTTTATTATTTTACTTTATTATTATTTTATTTTACTTTATTATTTTATTTTATTTTACTTTATTTTATTTTGTTTTGTTTATTTTACTTTATTATTTTATTACTTTATTATTTTACTTTATTATAATTTTATTTTACTTTATTTTATTATTTTATTTTATTCTATTTTATTTTATTTTACTTTATTTTATTTTATTTTGTTTTATTTATTTTACTTTATTATTTTATTACTTTATTATTTTACCTTATTATTATTTTATTTTACTTTATTATTTTATTTTATTTTACTTTATTTTATTTTGTTTTGTTTATTTTACTTTATTATTTTATTACTTTATTATTTTACTTTATTATTACTTTATTTATTTTACTTTATTTTATTATTTTTTTTTATTTTATTTTACTTTTTTATTTTATTTTCGATCGACAAGCTCAGCGTCTTAGCCACTGAGCCACGGCGTCCCTTTCTTATATGGGATAGCTATTTCAGCTATCTCACCTCTGCCTAGCTAGCTGCTAGCTCCTCCATAAAAGCTCACAGAGCTCTGGCACGCTAGCGATCTCCCGGCGCCTGGCTCTCTTATTATTCAACGGGCAAGAAGATGAATTGGCTGCCACTGTCAAACCGGCACAATCCGTCACTCGGCTTGAACGGCGGTGTTAATTTCACACCCTGTCGGGAAATGTTTACCATTTTCAACATCCAGGCCTGGCTGGGCTCGGACAGGTGGCTGGAATATTGGGCAGCCGGCAGACTTCGGCAGGTCAGAGAAGGAGGGGGCGAAGTAGGGAGGGACACGGACACACACACCACCGAGACCGGGCAGAGAAGCCGAACTTCGGTAGGTGGAAAAGGGAGAGACTGTCGGTCTAGTGGTTAAGGCACCAGGCTAGAAAGCAGGAAATGGTGAGTTTTAGTCCCACTTTCGGCATGAAAACAGACTGGGTGACTTTGAGCCAATCACCAGGAGACGGTGAGTTCTAGTCCTGCCTTAGGCATAAAAACAGACTTTGGGCTATTCTATTCTATTCTATTTTCTATTTTCTATTCTATTCTATTCATTTTCTATATTTTATTCTATTCTAGTCTATTCTATTCTATTCTCTATTTTCTATTTTCTATTTTCTATTTCCTTTTTTCTATTTTCTATTCTCCTATTCTATTCTATTCTACTCTACTCTACTCTACTCTACTCTACTCTACTCTACTCTACTCTATTCTACTCTCCTTCCTTCTTTCCTTATTCCACTCCATTCCATTCTACTCCACTCTAATTCTCTTCTCTTCTCTTCTCTTCTCTTCTCTTCTCTTCTCTTCTCTTCTCTTCTCTTCTCTTCTCTTCTTCTCTTCTCTTCTCTTCTATTTTCTCTTCTATATTTTATATTCTATATTCTATTCTATTCTATTCATTTTCTATATTTTATTCTATTCTATTCTATTCCTATTCTATTCTACTCTATTTTCTATTTCCTTTTTTCTATTTTCTATTTTCTATTCTTCTATTCTATTCTATTCTATTCTATTCTACTCTACTCTACTCTACTCTACTCTACTCTACTCTACTCTATTCATCTAATCTAATCTAACCTAATCTAATCTAATCTTCTCCCCTTACCCTCCAAACAGAGGAGAGGAGAGCGAAAGAGCAGCAGCAGGATGGCACGGTGCTCCCGATGGGCACCATCGAAGAATGGTTGGAGAAACACGCCAAGCGGCTACGGGCAGCTCAGAGAGACAGGTATGTGTTCTCCGCCATCAGCAAGGGAAGCTGAAAGTTGTCCGGCCTTTTGAGGTATCCCAGCTCCACAAAACGGATACTGCAAGAAATTTCGGAACTCGGCTTTATTGTTGGAGGGTATACAGGTAGTCCTTGACTTACAACTGTACATTTAGCGACCGTTCAAAGTTACAACAGAACTGGGAAAAAAGGGACTTTACGACCTTTTTCCCAGTTATAACCTTTGCAGCAGCCCCATAATCATCATCATCTTTTAACGACACCATAATCCCTTGCGGGGTGGAGTCTGGGCAACCGAATGGAGCTGAGTTTTTACTGGCCGGATGCCCTTCCTGTTGCCAGAGCGGAGTTTTGTTCAGCAGAAATATTCTCATTGTGCCCAGAGAGAGAAATATCTGCCTCTTCCTAGGATCGAACTCACAGCCTCCTGATCGTGAAGTGAGCTCTAGGCCACCGCACCACTCACAGCCCCCATAATCATACGATCAAAATTCAGACGCTCGACAACCGCTTCGTATTTATGACGGTTGCAGTGTCCCCGGGGTCATGGGATCACTTTTGGGGACCTTCTGACGAGCAAAGTCAACGGGGAAGCCAGATTCACTTAACAAGAAGGTTACTAACCAAACAACTGCAATGATTCACTTAACAACAGTGGCAAGAACGGTCGTAAAATGGGACAGGACTCACTTAGCAACCTTTTGCTCAGTAACAGAAATTTTGCGTAGAGTGGCATTGCGAAAACATTTCTTTTCCTAAATCAGATTTTTTTTTTCTTTTCCTCCTAGTCCTCTTTCTGAAGAAGAATTGGTTTTCCAATATCCACCAGGTTGGCCGCCGGTCCAGGAACTACCACCCTCCCTGAGAGCGCCCCCTCCTGGCGGATGGATGATCCCCCCGGGTCTCCATTGGGGCTGAGAGTGGCGGGAGATGAAACGATTCAGGCTGCAGATTCTCGGCGTGCAAAACAAGAGAATTTAGCTGAAGACGTTTCCAGAAATTCCTGCACCGCCGGCTGATTTAGAATTTGCAGGAAGGATACCGAGACCGAAGCGCGTTCAAGGACCGAACAAACCAAATAAATTTATTTAAATGGTCTCCGTTAATTACTCCCAGCGCCAGCGGGCTTCCCTCGATCTGCGGTGCTGAGCCCGGCGTAGCAAGGACAGTCTCCGAAATTCAAATTACTATATTTTTTCAGACTATAAGACGCACCCAGATTTAGAAGAGGAAAACAACGACAAAAAGTGTTTGGCCTCCACGCATCCCATTTTCGGGCCTTTTTTTGGGCCCGTTTTTGAGGCTTTTTTCGGTCCGTTTCTGAGGCATTTTTCGCCCTGTTTTTTCCCCAAAAAATGGGCCAAAAAAAGCCTCAAAAACGGGGCCAAAAAAAGAGCGGAGCTTCAGCAATATTCGGTCTATAAGACGCACCGACATTTTCACCCCGTTTTGGGAGACAAAAAAGTACATCTTACAGTCCCAAAAATACGGTATAAAGAAGTTGCTTTTGATGGTTTTACTGCGCTGCAATTTCTCTGTTCCATGACCCCCATCCGCAGGAGTTGCTCAATTTAAGCATCAGCAAAGGAAAGCTACATATTAATGAGGATTAATTCTCTTAACAGGCACTGGGGCACCTGCTAAGGACCAAAGAATACATAGAGTAAATTCTTGTTATTGCTAGGTATGGGCTATAAAATCACCGCGAGCCGCGAATCGACAAATACTGAACTGTCACTTCTAGGAAAATATACGGCTTGCTTTCTACGAATCTCCACTCACAATATTTTCCGTCAAAAATGACCAACCCGCAACCTTATTTTAATTGTGTTTCTGTTTAAAGAGATTCCATTTAACGTACATATTTCTTGTTAATAAAGTCCTGAGGAAAAAAAAGTTTAAATCGTGAGAAGAGTTGTTTTTTTTTGCAAGACAGCCCCCCGCCCCATAACATAAAACAACCGAGCCTCAGTCAGGAAGATAAAACAGCACTCTGCACATGCTCAGAATCATGTTCTTTGCAGAAATGCATGCCTGGTTAAGTGATTATTATTTTCCTCCCTTGCTTTTGGAAGATAGATTTTTTTTTGATATATGCCTCTGAATTTCAGCTTGACGGCTTTGCACTGGAATATTCTGCTTTTATCATTAGTGGTTTATATTTTATGGGGAGGTGCCTAGAGCCGTTGATGGAGTGGCTGAGAAACGTACAGAAATAAATCCACAAAAGAATAGATTTCTACTCCCATGGCCGTTCCCAAGGGCAGAAGTTGGCTGGGTCCCTGATTAGGTTGGATCCGGAAATGGAACGTCGTCGTAAACCACCATCCGAAGGCCAGAGAGAGAAACCAGCGGCATTCGGAAATGCTAAAACTTCAAAAAGAAAGCGCAGGATGAATAGCCAGTTCCCGGCAATGAATTTATTTTTATTTTATTTTATTCAGTTTGTCGAACATGTACAAGATAACAGGTATAGGTATCAGTGGTGAGTTGGTCCCGGTTCGGTCCGGTTCTTGCGAACCGGTAGTAATGGCAGCAGGAGGCTCCGCCTACCGTCCCGACGTCATCACTGACGAGCTCCGCATGCGCTGAAGCACGCACGCACGCTCCCGTTGCAAACCGGTAGTAAAGGTAAGTGGAACCCACCCCTGATAAGTATAAACATGGACATGAACAAGGAATGAATACAAATAAATGGGGACTGTAGGACAGGGACGATAGGCTGGTGCGCTTATGCACGCCCCCTTTACGGACCTCTTAGGAATGGGGTGAGGTCCACGGTGGACAGTTTTAAGGTTGAAGTTGCAGGGTTTTGAGGATGTGAACAACAGAGTCAGGTCATGCATTCCAGGCGTTGACCGCTCTGTTGCTGAAGTCGTATTTTCTGCAATCGAGTTTGGAGCGGTTTACTTTTGAGTTTGTATCGATTGTTTGCCCCGCGCATTATTGAGGTTGAAGCTGAAGTAGTCGTTGACAATTTTGGCCGAAGAGGTTGCAGGAAAAAAAATGCTTTTAGAAGCCTCTGACGATCCCAGATGAGCCGCGCGATCATCAGAGGTTTTTTTTTTTTTAAATTACTTTAAAAGCATTTTTTCGGCCGAAGAGGTTGTAGAAAAAATGCTTTTAAAAGTTAAAACAAAAAAAAAAGCCTCTGGTGATCGTGCGGCTCAGCTGGGCATGGGGAGAGGGGCAGGGATTTTTGCTACCGGTTCTCCGAACCACTCGCCGCCATCGCTACCGGATCGGGTGATCCGGTCCGAACCGGGAGCATTTCACCCCTAATCTGGGGCCGAGAGTCGTTGAGGGTGCAAATAGTATGTGTGTTTTTTGCCTCGAGAAGTGAACTCACTTCTAATTTTTATTTTTAGCACCGTAAAAAAAAAAATCAGCAATATGATATCAGGGGAGAAGTTGGGCCCAAAATATTATTATTATTATTATTCATATTTCTATGCCGCCCACTCTCCAAGGACTCTGGGCGGCTTACACCAAAGACAGTATACTAAATAGCATATTTGTTGTGACTCCGACCCCCGAGGCCGACTTATCGGAGGGAGAAGGCTCCGAACATGAAGGAGAGGAGTTGGCCAGGCCTCCCTCTCCAGGACCCTCCTCTCTGGCAATGCCTCAGGTGTCTCCTGAAGAGAAGAGATTGGCCAGGAGCCAGGTATCTTCTTGCAGTCGGACAGTGACGGAGATAAGTCTTGGCTGGATCCACGCCAGCGTCGGAGAGACAGGCGCGCGCAGCAGAAGAGGAGGCGTGCTAGAGATTAGGCTGAGTCACTGGACCACACCCCACAGGGGATAAAAGGGGGTGAGGTGGCCATTCAGACTCTGTGACGGACAAAACAAACTACTAGCGAGTCACATTGTATCTTTGAAACAACGTTATCTGCCTTGGATTTAATACGGACTGGACTTGACAATTCTTGAACTGTGTGTATCTTGTTTGGGTTTATCTATCGGAGGAACAACCCCTCCCTCTATGAGTAAAGTTCTTGGCAAGCAGCTACTGGGTTGCTGCTAATCCTCTTATCGAAAGAATTTGTTGTCTGCCAGTTTTATTTAACCCCTGGCTATCTGTTTGTGTGCGTGTGTGAGACGGGGACAGAACAATATTGCCCCCAACAATCTGGGTCCTCATTTTACCCACCTTGGAAGGATGGAAGGCTGAGTCAACCTTGAGCCGGTGAGATTTGATCCGCTGATCTGCTGAACTAGCAGTCAGCTGAAGTAGCTGCAGTACTGCACCCTAACCACTGTGCCAGCCTCACACACACACACACACACACACACACACACACACACACACACATATTTTGCAACACACCACAATTTTTCTCAGGCAAAAGCCATGCTTGGCTTGGACGTGACTTTGTTATTATGCTAAACTCATCGATCATAGCGAAGTTCAAATAAATACGACGGCATCAACCGAGCGTCAAAAATGCAGAACCCTTTGCTTGTTATCGATCGCGGTTCCTTCCGTGACAAGGTTTGCTATTTTCATTTCTTTTCACGGAAAGAAGACAAAAGCCACCCGCTCAGAATCTCCCAGAACTGCAGCGGCATAAAGGACAAACAAGCCAGCCAAATAAATAAAATTGATAAACGTGGAAATAATAATAATAAAAAAATAGATTACAGAGCCTCTAAAATATTCTCAAACAGTGCGGATGCTAACGTCGTTAACTCTATAGGTGGGGCAGGCCCAGAAACAGACTTCAGAAACGTGGCAGGTGGTCCTCGCCTTACAACGGTTCATTTAGTGACAACGATGCTGGGAAAAGCGAGTTATGACCAGTGATGGGATTCAAGTAATTTAACACCCGGTTCTCGGCCCTAATGATTTCTTCCAACCAGTTTGCCAAACTGCTCAGAAAGTTAACAACCGGTTCTCCCGAACTGGTGCGAACTGGCTGAATCCCACCACGGCTTATGACCGTTTTTCGCACTTACGACCGTTGCGACGTCCCCGAAGTCACTTTACAGCCGTCTTGCTTAGCAACGGGAAATTTTGCGCTCTCCATTTTCGTCGTAAGGCGAGGACTGCCTATCATCCCATTTCCCAGGCAGCCTGCCCACCCATCGGATTGACCGACGTGATGAAAAATAATCAAGGTGTAGAATTAATGTGTGAGGATGCAAAGCACAGCTGAACTGCTTGGTAATTTGCGGGAGGGAACCCTGAGTTTTGTGCGAAGAAATAAAGGGGAAGATTTATTCCTTTTTTATTATAAATGCGCAGTTGAGCAGTTCTGTCCCTTGACTGTAACAAATAGAACATTGTGCTCTGTCTATCGCGTACATTTTAAGCAACACACATACACAATTTTCCTTAAAAAAAAATAATAATAAAAGCCCATGCATAATCCACCGTCTTGGTCTTCCCATAAATCTTGGGGCTCTTCTTTTAAATACCTTGTCATTTCTGTGAATTGCTTCGCAGCATCGGGGCGCTGCGTGTTGGGAGAAGTAATAGAAGGAAAAGGAAGAGCCCCAAGCGATGGACGTGGCCCCCTGCTCCTCCCCCTTAACCCATCACTCTCCAGATGTGGGACTAGGTCTCCCTTCATTCCCAACTGCTGAGACCGTATCTGAGGATAGGGAAGAGTTGTGAGCCATCCTGAGTTATGCAGATGGGATAGGTAGCCATACGGAGGAGGAGGAGGAGGAGGAGGAGGAGGAGGAGGAGGAGGAGGAGGAAATCCTATTCATTTTGACATTCTCCTCCTCTCCTTCTCCTTCTGCTTCTCCTCCTCCTCCTCCTCCTCCTGCTTCTCCTCCATCTCCTTCTCCTTCTCATTGTCCTCCTCCTCCTCCTCCTCTTTCTCCTCCTCCTTCTGCTTCTCCTCCTCTTCTTCTGCTTCTCCTTCTTGTCCTCCTCCTCCTCCTCCTCCATCTCCTTCTCATTGTCCTCCTACTCCTACTCCTCGTCCTCCTTCTCCTCCTCCTCCTCCTTCTTCTGCTTCCCCTCCTGCTTCTCCTCCTCCTCCATCTCGTTGTCCTTCTGTTTCTCTTCCTCCTTCTCCTCCTCCTCCTCCTCCTCCTTCTGCTTCCCCTCCTGCTTCTCCTCCTCCTCCATCTTCTTGTCCTCCTTCTGCTTCTCCTCTTCCTCTCCCTCTTCTGCTTCTGCTTCTCCTTCTCCTTCTCGTCCTCCTCCTTCTGCTTCTCCTCCTCCTGCTTCTCCTCCTCCTCCTCCTCCTTCTGCTTCCCCCCTGCTTCTCCTCCTCCTCCATCTTCTTGTCCTCCTTCTGCTTCTCCTCTCCCTTTTCTGCTTCTGCTTCTGCTTCTCCTTCTCATCCTCCTCCTTCTGCTTCTCCTCCTCCTGCTTCTCCTCCATCTCCTTCTTGTCGTCCTTCTGCTTCTGCTTCTTCTCCTCCTCCTCCTGCTCCTCCTCCTCCTTCTGTTTCTCCTCCTCCTCCTTCTGCTTCTTCTCCTCCTCCTCCTCCTCCTGCTGCTTCTGCTTCTCCTCCTCCTCCTCCCCCCTCTTTCCCCTCGCCAAAGCAGCTGTGGAGAAGCCAGAATGACCTCTTACACCAGACATTGAAATTGATTGCTTTTTGCAGAACCTTTTAAGAATTTGGAATTCAGCCAGGTGCTACAGACTGCTTTCACCAGCTAAGGTCCTCACTCTGAATGCGGAGCCCGTATAAGGAGGAAAAAGCAACCTCTGCCATCACTATTTTCCTGTAGCAAAGAACTGGTGGGATCATAAGCCTGAAAAAGTGGTTGCAAATGAGCATGCAAAACTGCTGTGGGACTTCCGAATACAGACTGACAAAGTTTTGGAACACAATACCCCGGATATCACAATTGTGGAGAAGAAAAAAAGTGTGGATCGTCGACATTGCCATATCTGGTGACAGCAGAATCGACGAGAAACACCTTGAAAAAGTCACCAGATATCAGGACTTGAGAATCGAACTGCAGAGACTCTGGCATAAACCAGTGCAAGTGGTCCCAGTGGTACTCGGCACACTGGGGGCTGTGCCTAAAGACCTGGGCAAGCACTTAAAAACAATTGGCACTGACAAGATCATCACTGGTCAGCTGCAGAAGGCCACTTTACTGGGATCTGCCCGCATAATCCGCTGATACATCACGCAGTCCTAAACGCTTGGGAAGTGTTCCACTAGTGATTTGGGATATGAAATCCAGCATGGTCATCTCGTTTGCTGTGTATACTGTCATTTTTGTGTTAATAATAATAATAATAATAATAATAATAATAATAATAATAATAATAATAATAAATAAATGCCGCCTCTGCAATGAGAAAGATGAGACAGTCGACCACCTGATCAGTGGGTGCAGCAAAATTTCACAAACTGACTACCTACAACGCCATGACCGCATTGCTAAGATGACTGGAAATTGTGCCAGAAGTTTGGATTTGAGTACAGCAAAAACCACTGGGAACATCAGGTTGAGAAAGTTCTAGAGAATGAGAAACTCAAGATCTTGTGGGACTTCAGGATTCAGACTGACAGGCACTTGGTCCACAACACACCTGACATAACAATAGTTGAAAAGAAAAAAGTATGGTTCATTGACATTGCAATACCTGGTGATGCACGGATTGTAGATAAGCAGCAAGAAAAAAATCACAAAGTACCGGGACTTGCAAATTGAAGTTGAGCGACTGTGGAAAAAGAAATCGTGTGTTGTCCCGATTGTAATTGGAGCCCTCGGAGCAATACCCAAAGGGCTACCCCGCTATTTAGAAATTCTAAATTTGCCGGACTTGAACATTTTGACTCTACAAAAAACCACCTTACTCGGAACAGCTTACATCCTCCGACGATACCTTAACAGTTCCTAGGTCCTTGGTTAGGACTCGAGCTGCTGAGCTATTAACCAGCCTCAAAGGCTGTGAATCTCACTAAAGATTAACCAATAATAATAATAATACCTCGCTATTTAGAAATTCTAAATTTACCGGACTTGAACATTTTGACTCTACAAAAAACCACCTTACTCGGAACAGCTTACATCCTCCGACTCGAGCTGCTGAGCTATTAACCAGCCTCAAAAGCTGTGAATCTCACTAAATATTAACCAATAATAATAATAATAATAATAGTAACATACTTGGTTGATACCTAGGACTCTGGCAGCACCCCGTATCAACTATTAGTGCCAGAATGGTATTTGTGATGCATTTTTGATGTTCAGTTGACTGAGTTTCATGTTTGATGAATAAAGTAAATAATAATAATAATAATAATAATAATAATAATAATAATAATAAACAATAAATCCATATCAACCATGAGCACCAGTCAATGGTATTTGTGATGCATTTTTGAATGTTCAGTTGACCGAGTTTCATGTTTAATGAATATGAAGATAATAATAAGAATAACAAATTTGAGAAGAGCTAGAGACAGACTTAACAAACAAACTCCGATCAGCAGTTTTCTTTTTGAGGTTTTTTTTTTTTCTTTTTTCTTTTCCAGTTTGACAATTGATTCATTGTGGCACAACGATACATTCATGGCGAGAAAGCATGGGAATTGTGTGACAATTGTCTCTTTCGTCCGGCCACAGTTAGTACATGAACCAACCGCTCGCAAGTTCGACGTCGGTACAGAGTCAGATGAGAAATAAGGCACAATAGCTAGTTTTTGTCGGTTTTGAAATGGTTAAACGTTGCCCCCCACTTGGGACAGGCGGCCCGGAAGACAGGAGGGGGATCCCAATTCTCTGTCACATGATCAAAGCCTCCGGTTACGCAAAAGAAACACCCCGGCCTGGCCAGATCCTGCTACGTCGGGCTTAAAGATGGCAAACGAAATGGTTATCAGGGGGCACCCCTAGGATCTTGTATATACAATGCTGCAACTTTCCTCAACCTGGTTTGGAGGTCCAGAGGCCCGGACCTCAAACGCTCTCGGCATTCCTCAAGCCAGCAGGAAAGACGGTTGGGTCGAAGGGGTCCAGATCGTGGGAGGATTCTCCAAGTTGAGGAAGGTTGGACTTCTGCTGATGTGACGGATTGAATTGAGTTGGCTCAGCCAGAAGTGGAGGCGCCGAGATCTTCAGGAACAGTGTCCCCCATTTGGCCACTTCAGAAGTTCTCCACATCTCGTGTGGCCTGCCGTGGAAAACCCACCAGCGACGAAGAAGAAAGGCTCCACTAAATCTACCCCTGAGTGGGCCAGTCTCCTCCTCCTCCTCCTCCTCCAACTCCTCCAACTCCTCCTCCTGCAACCTCTCCTCCTCCAACTCCTCCAATTCCTCCTGCAACTTCTCCTCCAACTCCTCCTGCAACTCCTCCTCCTCCTCCTGCAACTCCTCCTCCTCCAACTCCTGCAACTCCTCCTCCTCCAACTCCTCTAACTCCTCCTGCAACTTCTGCAACTCCTCCTCCTGCTGCTGCAACTCCTCCTCCTGCAACTCCTGCAACTTCTCCTCCTCCAACTCCTCCTCCAACTCCTCCAATTCCTCCTGCAACTCCTCCTCCAACTCCTGCAACTCCTCCTCTCCCTCCTCCATGTCCTCCTCCTCCAACTCCTCCTGCAACTCCTCCTCCTCCTCCTCCTCCAACTCTTCCAACTCCTCCTCTTCCTCCTCCATGTCCTCCTCCTGCAACTCCTCCTCCATGTCCTCCTCCTCCTGATCTAACTCCTGCAACTCCTCTTCCAACTCCTTCTCCTCCAACTCCTCCTCCTCCTCCTCCTCCTCCTCCCAAGCCAACATTTCTGGTGCCTTCCCATCCAAACAACCCCGGATCGACATTCAACAGGCTCCAGTAAACTCCCTCGTTCCCACCCCACCCCCACCCCAGAAGAAAAAAGTGCATAGATGCCGGGGGGGAGGGGGGAACCTCCTGCGAGAGGAGGTAGGAGGAGGTTACACAAACCGATTTTGATTTGCGGTCCAGCCCTTGGTTCTGTTGATGGTCATGCAAATGCCTGAATCTTGGATAGAAAATCCTGACGCGCGTGTATATATTGCTTAACTGATTATTCGGTTTATCATAAATATATATATATATATATGTATATGTTATATTTATATATATAGAATATTTTATATATATTTTTTGTAAGATCCTACTATCGGATTATAAAAGCACAGGGTATTGCATTAACTCGGATCAGGAAGGGAGTGCTGGAAAAAGGGTCTCCATGCACGTTGTCATGCTTTCAAAGTTGTAATTTAAAAAAGTTCACCATGCAGGTTCCCGATAAGGGCCCTCGGCTTGGCCAAGTGGGACCTTGCCTGGGGAAACCTTGCTATCTGTTCAGAAGACAGCTGTCTCTCCAGTTGGGGGTGGGTGGGAGAGGAAACCCCCAAGAGAGGCAAAAGGGAAGAACTTTGTCTTTGTGTGTACGCCACCAATTTTGCCACGGAGGAACGGCAGTTTCCCTCCCAGCCACGGCTCCCGGGTGGCTTAAAAAGGGAATTGATAGGTAGGTCTAGAGTTTTCTTCCCTGGGTTCTTCAAGGAAGTCCAAACGGTCCATGAACCCAGGCATCATCAGTGCCTCCTCCAGGAGTTTACTTCATCCCGCTTCTCAGGACCTGGTTGGCTGCGATGAGCATGACGCTGATGATAAACGCGATGGCGAAGGCGCAGATGAGGCTTTTCCGGACGCAGGTTTGCCTGATCTGTTGGTTTGAGCACGCTGAGGAGGAAGTGGAAAGGATGAGGGGAGTGATTAATGGGGGGGGGGGGCGAGGTCATGACGAAGACGGGAGAGAGAGGAGAAGGAGAAAGGGAGAGAAAGATGGGGAAGAGGAAGAAAAGAAGAAGAGATTATCGCAGTGCGGTTGTGTTACTTGGCGACCCTGACAGCTAGAGTTTTTCGAACTTGGTAGTTTTAAGATGGGTGAACTTCAGTTCCCAGAATTGCTGGCTGGGGAGTTGCTGAGGTTGGACACCTTTGAAGTAGAAGCTAGAAGCTCCTTTGGGGGTTTTGATGAGTGGCCAATTCTGATGGCCAATGTCAATCCAAGACCTCAGTGCCTTCCACCGTGCCCTTAAAACCCACTTTTTCCAGCAAGCCGGGCTGGCTTAGGAAGAATTTTTTAAAAATTTTTAAATGTTTAATTGGTTTGTGGTTTTTTAAATTTTGGGCCAAATTTATATAGATTTTAATTGTTTTTAATATTTGTATTTCATGTTTTTAATTCTGGCTGTGCACTGCCCTGAGTCCTCAGGGAGAAGGGCGGTATATAAATTGAAAAATAAAATAAAATAAATAAATAAAATAAAATAAACTTGCAAAGTTTTCAAGTTGCCATGAGCAGGAGGGAGGAAGAACTGATAGAGCTAATTGATTTCCCTAACTGAAGCTACATTCCACAGATGCTTTCTTACCACAATCAGTAGGAGAGTGTTGGGTTTCACAGCCAGCCAAAGTGGTTAATTGGAGAATGTGATTTACGACATGGCCAGGGAGGAGGGGACAGACAGGGTCATAGGGGAACGTAAATCTACGTGGGATTAGTTCTAACTGCATCCGAATATTGCCGAAATGGTGCTCCTAATAAATGACTGTATTTCTTTTGAAGTTTGGCTCATGGCTCATGAATTAATTAGGGCATCTTTCGGAAACTTCACAGCCAATTGGTTTCTGGTCTCCCCCCCCCAATGAACTGAGCCCCAAGATGAAGTTCACTTACTTTCCACGTCGACTGGGCACTCCTCCGCGTTTCCCATGTGACTTTCCTCCTCCGTCATGATGATGTTTTCAATGTCCTTCATGGAGAGGTGCTCGCAGAAAGTGTCGTACAGCAGCCGTTTCAGCTCATCCACCGTCAGCTTCTGCATGTCGCACTGCAGAGGGCAAAAAGAGTATTACACAACTTCCGGTGCCATAAGTGAGCTTGATGTTGAGGAGACATGTGCAAAAAATATTGAACGGAGAACCCATCGGATTTTTTTTTTTCTTGGAGAACCTGCTCTTCTCTTTTACACTGCAAATCCTGACTCTCTGAAGCTTCAGAGAAGCTATCTAGATATGGAGTGGATGGGTTCATGGTGTTGTAAGCTCAGAGAACATCAAGAACTCAACATGTTCACTCTTTGATCCTTCACAGAAGCTATTTAGATATGGAGTGGATGGGTTCATGGTGTTGTAAGCTCAGAGACCATCAAGAACTCAACATGTTCACTCTTTGATCCTTCACAGAAGCTATTTAGATATGGAGTGGATGGGTTCATGGTGTTGCAAGCTCAGAGAACATCAAGAATCCAACATCTTCACTCTTTGGTCCTTCACAGAAGCTATTTAGATATGGAGTGGATGGGTTCATGGTGTTGTAAGCTCAGAGAACATCAAGAACTCAACATGTTCACTCTTTGATCCTTCACAGAAGCTATTTAGATATGGAGTGGATGGGTTCATGGTGTTGCAAGCTCAGAGAACATCAAGAACTCAACATGTTCACTCTTTGATCCTTCACAGAAGCTATTTAGATATGGAGTGGATGGGTTCATGGTGTTGCAAGCTCAGAGAACATCAAGAACCCAACATCGTCACTCTTTGGTCCTTCACAGAAGTATCTAGATATGGAGTAGATGGGTTCATGGTGTTGCAAGCTCAGAGAACATCAAGAACCCAACATCTTCACTCTTTGGTCCTTCAAAGAAGCTATCTAGATATGGACAACCATGACCTGGATGATTAAGACTCTCCATAAACACAAGGGTGTTCTACCTTCAGGAAAAATGCAAAAAATAAAATAAAATAAAATATATACCTGGAGTACCAACTTCTGCAAGGAAATTAAGAAGAGGCTCACAGAGATCTGGAACTGGGATCCTCCTTACCTTCCAGAACACGGTGTCAAAATCAGCGCCATGAAATTTCTCGGGGATGCCAGACGCGGAAAGTTTGGGTCCTAGTAACGTCACAAACTCTTCAAAGTCCACTTGCCCATCGCCTAGAAACGAGAGGAGCAATGACAGGTGATCTGAAGGAAGCATCCAGTTGAAGAGTCACTTATTTGTGAAAGAGGACACAGACGGTCCTGGTCTTACGGACATTCGTTTAGTGATCGTTCAAAGACACAACAGCACTGGGAAGAAAAAGGACCGACAACCAGTCCTTGCTCTTGTGACTATCACAGCATCCCTCTAGCTATGCAATCAAAATTTGGGTGCTTGGCCACCAGCATGTATTCATGATGGTTGCAGTGTCCATGGGAAAGGAAGGAAGGAAGGAAGGAAGGAAGGAAGGAAGGAAGGAAGGAAGGAAGGAAGGAAGAAAGAAAGAAAGAAAGAAAGAGGGAGGGAGGACGGAAAGGAGAGAGGATGGGATGGGAAGGGAAGAGAGAAGAGGAAGGGAAGGAAAGGAAGGAAGGGAAGGGAAGGAAGGAAGGAAGGAAGGAAGGAAAAGAGGGAGGAAGGGAAGAAGGAAGGAAGGAAGGAAGGTAGGGAAAGAGGGAAGAAGGAAGAAGAAGGAAGGAAGGAAGGAAGGAAGGAAGGAAGGAAGGAAGGAAGGAAGGAAGGAAGGAAGGGATTTACAATGTCAGCCTATTGCCCCCAACAATCCGGGTCCTCATTTTACCAACCTCAGAAGGATGGAAGTCAACCCTGAGCTGGTCAGGATTGAACCTCTGACAGTGGGCAGAGTCAACCTGCAGTACTGCATTCTAACCATTGCACCACCATGATAGGAAGGAAGGAAGGAAGGAAGGAAGGAAGGAAGGAAGGAAGGAAGGAAGGAAAAGAGGGAGGAAGGGAAGAAGGAAGGAGAAGGAAGGAAGGTAGGGAAAGAGGGAAGAAGGAAGAAGGAAGGAAGGAAGGAAGGAAGGAAGGAAGGAAGGAAGGAAGGAAGGAAGGAAGGAAGAAAGGAAATGGAGGCTTCTTCACACCACCATCTAGATATGTTGGGCTACGATTTCCAACAATCCCAGCCACCACAGTCAGCCCAAAACTAGAGAATGAAGAAAGGTTAGAGGTGAAGAAGGTTGATGAGAAAAAACAACAACATCCAAAGGGGAGCGGGGGAGAAAGAAGGAAGGTCCTAGCCTGTCCTACCATCTCCAGACAACCTTACCATCCATATCCAGCCTCTGGATGATGACTTCCAACTCCACTTCATTGGGCATGTAGCCAAGAGATCTCATGGCGGTGCCGAGTTCTTGCTTGGAGATGAAGCCGTTGCCATCTCGGTCAAAGACTTTGAAGGCCTCACGAATCTCTGTAGAGAGAAAGAAAAGAAAGGGAAGCTCAGCAAGCCAGAAGATGTTGGCTTTGATATTGAGCTTGCATGGAGCCAGGATTGGGCAACTTCTAACTCAGGTCTGTTTAATTTAGTGTCCGATCCATTATAACGCCCCTCCGGCTTTGATCTAACCAAGGAAAATCTGGGCAGCACTCAACAGGATTCGAAACTAACCATGGCAGGATAACAAACTTGGAAGGGATCTTGGAGCTGTTCTAGTCCAACCTGCTACTCAAACAGGAGACGCTATACCATTTCACACAGGTGGCTGTTTAACCTCCAGTGATGGAGCAGCCACAACTTCTGGTGGCAAGCTGTTCCACTGGTTAATTGTCCTCACCATCAGGAAATTTCTCCTTAATTCCAGGTTGCTTCTCTCCTTGATTAGTTTCCATCCGTTGCATCTTGTCCTGCCTTCGGGTGCTTTGGAGAATAGCTTGACCCCCCTCTTTTCTGGGACAGCCTCTCAAATATTGGAAGATTCCATTTTCAAGGTCAAATTGTTGTGCTGGGATATGGAATTTTGCCCCGTGAATCGAAGCACCGTGTTGCTTTGATCTCTGCATTTTTGCACACAGCCACTCTTCCTTTTGCAAGCTGCTCTCTGACGACAATCGCCCCTTCTTTCATTTCAGCTCAACAGCAGTTAACCCCAATTCCCATCCTGATGCCTTGCAAAGAATTAGCTTACAACTGTATGGGCATGTACAGCAACTCATTCAGAGGATGCCTGCTGAGGACCTCATAGGTGTGTATCATCTGTACTCAGTACTGGCTTCCATGGTACATGTCGAAAGGAAGGATGCTAAAATGAGAACAGATCAAAACTACTTCTGCATTTTGTCTTTTACTCAGAGAGACGAGAGAGAGAGAGACGAGATAAAGAGAGACGAGAGAGAGAGATGAGAGAGAGAGATAAGAGAGAGAGGAGAGAGAAAGAGGGAGAGAGGGAGGGAGGGAGGAAAAGAGAGATGAGAGAGAGAGGAGGAAGGAGATTAGAGGGATTAGAGAGAGATATGAGAGAGGGGAAAAGATAAACTCTCTTTGATGATAGAGAGAGAAATAAAGAGAAATGAAAGAAATTGATAGAGAGACACAGAGAAGGGAGGAGATTGAGATGAGAGATAGAGAGATAGAGAAATAAATATAGATGAGGGATGGATAGATAGATAGATGGATGGATGGATGGATGGATAGATAAATATAGAAATAAAGATAGATAGATAGATAGATAGATAGATAGATAGATAGATAGATAGATAGATAGATGGATGGATAGAAAGATAGATGTAGAAATAAAGAGATAGATAGATAGATAGAAGATGGATGGATGGATGGATGGATGGATAGATAGATATAGAAATAAAGATAGATAGATAGATAGATAGATAGATGGATAGAGATGTAGAAATAAAGAGATAGATAGAAGATGGATGGATGGATGGATAGATAGATATAGAAATAAAGATAGATAGATAGATAGATAGATAGATAGATAGATAGATAGATGATAGATAGATAGATGTAGAAATAAAGAGATAGATAGATAGACAGACAGATAGATGGTAGATGGATGGATGGATGGATAGATATAGAAATAAAGATAGATAGATAGATGTAGAAATAAAGAGATAGATAGATAGATAGATAGATAGATAGATAGATAAGAGATAAATGGATGGATGGATGGATGGATAGATAGAGAAAGAAAGAAAGAGAAAGAGAGAGAGATGATAGACAGATGAAAGCCCTTTTCAAAGAAACCCCCAAAGAATTAAATGAAAACAAACCAGCAAAGGGCTTAGGAAGGACTCTCCTCCTTTCCCTCCTTTCCAGTTCTCAGATGAATGAAAAGAATTTGCTTTTGAAGAAGAAGAAGAAGAAGAGGAGGAGAAGGAGGAGGAGAAGGACGAGGGAATCGGTTGACATTCTCCTGGGCAAAGCGAACTGCCTTTGCGCTCATTTACCAACCAGGCATCTAACGGAGGGGGTGCGAAGTCATCCTAGCGTCTCCAGCAATTTGAATCCTGCTGCTTTCTATATTCGCCTTCAATCCCCAGAGAGAAGCCAAAATAAGATGCAAATCCTCCCCAGGGCCATTTTTTTTTAAGAACTGGAAAGCACGGAGCAGAAAACGACAAAAAGAACGGCAATTTTACCGTCACAACAGCACCGGATTCCCCCCTTTTGTTGTTGAAAAAAAAAAAACGACAATGGATGAATTCCCTAGAGATCTGCCCCTCTATACACTACACTCACAGTCGATCCTTATGTTCCAATTAGAATTACTTCCAAATGCATTACTCCGTTCGGCGGGCAACTCAGTAGATGATGCTTATTTATTAAACATTAGCAAACATCAACATCACTTAACTAGAAAAACAGGAGGAAAAAACAAGGAAAACATAAGTTGCAAGCGAGAGCGTGGCATTCCGTCTATTTATCTATTTATTTTTCTATTTGAAGAACCAGGGAAAACAATGCTGAAGCAGGTGCTCATCTCCGTTTCAAAGCCAAAGAGCCAGCGCTGTCCGAAGACGTCTCCGTGGTCCTGTGGCCGGCATGACTCAACGCCAAAGGCGCACGGAACGCTGTTCCCTTCCCACCAAAGCTGGTCCCTGTTTTTCTACTTGCATTTTTTTTTTTTACGTGCTTTCGAACTGCTAGGTTGGCAGAAGCTGGGACAAGTCACGGGAGTTCACTCCGTTACGCGGCACTAGGGATTCGAACCGCTGAACTGCCAACCTCAGCGTCTTAGCCCCTGAGCTACCGCGTCCCTAATGCGGTTCAGGTTAAGTTAGGTTAAATAAATAATTCAGGTTAAGTTAGGTTAAATGTGCTGTGGGAAATTGATTTGGATCAAAAGTTGGAGCTCACCCCCATGAAATGGAAAAAAAAAAAAAAGAAATTGCGTTTCTCGGTAGGGTAAGAAGAAAGTAGCCACTGGAGACCACATCCGGCGTATATTTTCAAAATGCAATACTTTTATTCACGTTAGCCCTTGTTACTCCGTTCCCCCGTTATCTCGATTCACCACAAAACACTGATCCATATGTAATAACGCTAACCTTACAAGCTGGATTCCCACGTTAATCTTGTCCTAAAATGTGGCCAGTTAATCTGTGGTTCCATGAAGCCACGCAAACTCAAACATTCTTGTGCCCCTTGTCCATCGCTCATGAGCCTCAAACCAGGTCAGTCGGAGATTTAGCTGCGGTATTCCCACAACGTGTCAGGATTCGGTGTTATCTCAAATAAACTTCATTCTCAAACGCAAAGTCTTTGATGAAACTTTTCTTTATTTGAGAAATTAACTATGTCATTCCTGAACTCTTAGTGCAGCCAGAACTGGCATCTCCCTCCAAACTCCTCCCTTTCCTCTCTTTATTCCCCAATGTCTCATTGGCCATCATGCAGATCCATCTCTCCGTCCCAAGCCCTTTCCAGTCACAGGAATTCCCCCCTCCCTCTATCACCTAAGTAATGTTATCTACCGAGGAGCAGGAAACTAAGTGAAAGTTCATGTCAGCATTAAAGCAAGGCTTCTCTTTCTCTCATTCATGTCAGCGCTGGGGAAAATCATAAATTGGAACGCTGACACAATGTAGAATGGAATGGAATGGAATGGAATGGAATGGAATGGAATGGAATAGAATAGAATAGAATAGAATAGAATAGAATAGAATAGAATAGAATAGAATAGAATAGAATAGAATAGAATCGCAGAGTTGGAAGGGACCTTGGAGGTCTTCTAGTCCAACCCGCTGCTTAGGCAGGAAACTCTACATCACTTCAGACTCTCTCTCTCTCTCTCTCTCTCTTCCTCAGGCATGTCAGTTCTTCTGAATTATATTTTGGCAGTTTGAAAACTAAACGGGGAGACCACAGGGACAGATACTTCAACATGTGTTCATTATTGCAAAGTGATAGGAGGGGAAAAAAATATTCATTCTCCATCAATTATATCACGAATCAAAGATTTAAACTCTGTTTTTGGCTCACGAATTCTCTCCTCTGAAGGTCTAATTAGACCTTGTGGGCTCAATACGTTACTTTATATACTTAATTCTCTTTATTGTTAAATTAACTTAACGGTTCATAACTGTATTGGGTAACATTAAATAAACAGACGCTGAGAGATAGAATTATGTATGTTTTGCTGGGATGGTATTTTTATTTTTATTTTTTTGCTTTTTTCATACATCACAAAATAACTAAAGTGAACAAAAAGTGTCAGGTAAAATAAAAGTAGAAAAGAAAACTCTTGAGTTTCAGCCTTGGGGGCTTTGAATAATATATTGTTCCTTCAGCTATCATAACTGGGGAAAGAATTTGTTTCAAATAAAGTATTTTAAAAGACCAAAGTCCAATGGAAAATGAAAAAGAACACGTACTGTAAAGTAGTGAAGAGTTTGATCAGTTGAAATGAAAAAATAATAAAAACCCCATGGCATGGTTATCAAGGCAAGTCCAAGGACTGGAATTTGATCTGTATAACAATTAAAAAAAGAAATTAAAAGATGCTTGCTCCGGGAGGAAAGCTATGGCAAATCTAGACAGCATACTAAAAAGCAGAGACATCACCCTGTCAACAAAAGAGCGTATAGTCAAGGCGATGGTTTTCCCAGTTGCAATGGATGGCTGTGAAAGTTGGACCACAAGGAAGGCCGAGTGCCAAAGAATGGAGGCCTTTGAACTCTGGTGCTGGAGAAGATTCCTGCGAGTCCCTTGGACTGCAAGGCGATCCAACCGGTCAGTCCTAGAGGAGATCAACCCTGACTGCTCTCTAGAAGGCCAGATCCTGAAGAGGAAACTCAAATACTTCGGCCACCTAATGTGAAGGAAAGACTCCCTGGAGAAGAGCCTAATGCTGGGAACGACGGAGGACAAAAGAAGAAGAAGGGGACGGAGAACGAGGTGGCTGGATGGAGTCACTGAAGCAGTCGGCGTGAGCTTCAATGGACTCCGGAGGATGG